CCGACTGTCCTGCGAGTGGACAACAAGTCGGCTATCACAGTCGCCGAGGGCATGGGGTTGACGGGCAACCTCAAGCACATGGAGCGACGACAGGCCTGGCTGCAGCACATGATGAAGCGCGGGAAGTTCTCGCTGCAGTACATCCCGACCGCTGAGCAGCCAGCCGACTTCCTGACGAAAGCGCTGCACTATCCGGCCTTCAACCAGTGCTCCGTCGCAATCGGCCAGGTGCGCTTGGCCGACGTGGGCGACGGCGATAACGACGTGCAGCAGTAGGTGCCATGCCCTCTTGCATGGCTGGTGCGGTGACCGGCGTGCTGTGTGTTGGGTGCACGCCGACGGGCTATTCTCGGAGCTGTACTGCCGTGTGGGCTGGGTGCCCAACCGTGAACGCGGCAGGGGAGTGTCAACGGGAGTTGTGTGATGGCCCCGTCCTCGCTTGGGCGGAGCCGACATCGTGGTCGGGTGTTCGGGGAGCAGCCGACCTGCAGCAGTGGGCGAGCTGGTTGACGAGGAGGTCGACCTGCACGGGGACCACTGCACGGGCGCCGACTTCAGGGTGGCGCCAACTTCGGGGAGGTCGACTTAGGAGTCGACCTGCGGAGGACGTCAACTTGGTGACGTCAACTTGGGGAAGCCGACTTCGGTGGTCGGCTGATGGACTGCTGGTCGACCTGCGGTTGGTCGACTGGACCTGGTGGTCGACGAAGGAGGGGCCGACGTCGACCTCGACTCAGGATGCCGAGCAGTTGGGCGTCGAGTAGCGGGACGTCAACTTCGTGACGCCGACTCCGGGTGGCCGACGTGGGTGGTCGGCCGACAACTGCGCTGGCCGACTTAGTGCTGGTCGACGTGGAGCTGGTCGACAAGAAGGGACGTCGACCTGGAGGAGGTCGACCGAGGGGCGTGGTCGTCCTGGTGAGGTCGACATGGAGGTGGTCGTCGACTTGGGAGGTCGACGGGCACGTACGGGAGCTGCTGGTCGATGTGGTTGCCCGGTCGACCAGGTTACCTGGGTGACGAAGTGCTGCGGAGGAGTGCGACGGTCGCCCGGGCGAAGTTGGCGAGACCGACCTCGGTGGTGGTATCCCGAGGTCGTCGTGGCGGATCAGAGGCAGTCGTCAGCTCGAGGTTGACGTGGTGTGTGCGCTGTGCAGGTGACGAGACTCTGCACGCCAATCATCTGCGCGCACCTGCGAAGCGGGTGCACTGCTGTCCTGCGTGAGCAATGCTGGTACGCCATCAACCTGCGACGTTGGCACGCCGTCGACCTTGCCTTGCTGGAGTGCGGTCGACCAAGTCGTGCTGGAACGCGGTCGACCAAGCTGCGCTGGCAGTTGGCCGACCTGAATGCTAGCTCTGATGTAGTCTTGCATTGCCAACTTCATTGTATCATTGTTGTCATGTTTTCCTAGTGAAACTCCTGCCAATTCTCGCCGTGAACTAGCAAGAAGCGTAAACACAAGGAAATGACTAAGTGAACGAACGCAGAGATCACACGAGCACACGTGCCTAGCTCGTAGTCTAGCTCCCGTTGCAGCAGTTATCTCCGCAGGCATCACGAGGGAGAAAGGAAGGCGAGGATGATATGAGCGGGTGGTGTGGAAGAGGAGGCACGCATCCCCACCCCGGTGCTTTACGATAGCGTGCAGGCTTTGCTTACGGCCGAATGCAGCCTTTGACCTTTGAGACGTCTCAAAAGGCATGCAGGCTTTGCCTACGGCCGTATGCAGCCTTTGCGAAGAGGGTGTGCAAGGGAAGGGCCGCATTCCCAGGTGCTCTGCGACTGCATGCAGCCTTTACCTAGAATGCAGCCTTTTCCTACTACCACCGTATGCAGCATTTGCCAAGGGGGTGTGCAATAGAAGGCCAGGCCAGCATTCCCAGGTTCTCTATGCCTACATGCACAAGCTCAGTGGTAAGTAAGCACAAGGCTCTTCACTCATACTCTGATGTACGTTTCTTTGAAAAGCCAAGCTTTTGGAGGAGGGGAGGCGCCTCAAAATTCGTTTTCTGGGCCGCCCGCCTCAAGAGTCAGGCCAAGCCACGTGCCCAGCAAAGGCGTGGGAGTTCCAGTCGAGGAGCATGAGGAAGAAGGCCCGAATGGATGTGAATGCTGAATCATGCTCACCAGCTGGTTTTTGAGAATTCTCAAAAACGAGCAGCAGTACATGGGAGTAGTGTTGAGAGCGCCTCTTTTTGAGTCGACTCAAAAGTGCCTCTCACCTCCGAGCCCGGCAAAGACCTGGGAGTTCCAGTCGAGAAGCATGAGGAAGAAGGCTTGGATGGAGGTGAAGGCGACAATGGTGAGCAGCAGCCAGAAGGTCTATCTGTTTGTGGAGGGGATGGAGAGGAGAGGCATGCCTTGCACTCACCTCCGAGCCCTGCAAAGGCTTGATAGTTCCAGTCGAGGAGCATGATAAAAAAAGGCTTGGATAAATGTGAAGCAGACAATGGTGAGCAGCAACCACAGCTTCTGTTTAGGGAGACGCATACCTTGCACTCACCTCCGAGCCCTTCAAAGGCCTGTGAGTTCCAGTCGAGTAGCATGAGGAAGAAGGCTTGGATGGATGTGAAGGCGACGATTGTGAGCAGCAGCCAGAGCGTCTGCTTGTGTGGGAAGAGCTGCGTGTAGCACTTGCGCGGATGGTCCAACAGGTACTTGGTTATGTGCCTGATGGGGAGGGGGGGTGGGGAGATGTTGTTGAATTACTTTGGGATAGGTTTTGAGGGGTTGGGGGAGGAGGATGTTGTGGAAAAAGGTGAGCTGACTTTTGAGTCGACTCAAAAGTCAACAGGTTTTGTGGGTTTGGGGGAGGAGGATGTTGTGGAAAAATGTGGGATTATTGAAGGGACAGATGAGCATGCCTACCAGCAGAAGCAGGTGGGCGCTACTATCTTTCCTCTTGTAGACTGTGCACTGCACACATACACAACCCACACCACAGCCAATACTCACCATCGGCTGCCGTCTCACTCACTCACCATTGGCTGCTGTCCTTCCTGCTGGTGCAGTGCAGCAGTGCCAGCACGCCTCTCAACGAGGGGGCATACATGGTATTGCCGACGAGAATCAGCACGCCCACCACCAGCAGGTACGGGATGTTGCGCTGAAAGGGAATGAGGTTCGCATCCAACAAGGTGATTCCCGAGTTGGAGAATGCAGAAGCGGACTGGAAGGCCGAGTTGAAGACGACGTTGATGCCCTTGCCTGGGGAACACGGGGAGCGGGAAGGGTGCAGAGCGGTGGAGTAGGTTGTGAGGTGGTGTAAAAGGGTGCAGAGTGTGATGTTGGCGAATGCAGAGATGGACTGGAAGGGGGGGAGGTGACGGCGTTGTTGATGCCCTTGCCAGCATGCGGAGCAGAGTGAAAGGGTGTGGAGAACGGTGCAGAGGGGAGTGAGATGGTGCAGAAGGGTGCGTATGATGTGGAATCGAGACGACTTGGTGAACGCAGAGATGAAGATGCCACAGCTGAGTGCAATGCTGAAGTCCCTGTGTGAAAGCAGTGTGTAGAACGGTGCAGAAGGGTGCAGAAGGGCGTAACGGAATGCAGAGGTGCGTGAGATGGGTCGTGCATGGAGGAGACTTGAGAGATGGAACCAAGTGGACTCAAAGCCATGCCGCATCTTGAGTGCAAGATCAAGCCACATTCGGGTATGTTTGTGTCACTTCTGAGAATTCTCAAAGGTGTCACGAACAAGCACAGGTACTTCCTTGTGAGGAGATCGTGGTATTCAGGCCACCACCAGGTGATGAGGATGAAGAGGATGAAGGCACCAAAGACGGTTCCGAAGTAATACGCCGGCACCAGCCAGCTCAGCAGCGCAAGGGCCCTGCGGAGTGGAAAGGGTGGTCCGAGATGGATAATGGTGGAACTGACAGCCTCTGAGGCGCCTCAGAGAAGTACACAGGCACCAGCCAGCTCAGCAGCTCCAGTGCCCTGCAGGATGGGGAGTGTTACGGGAAGGGGAGAGTGGAGAAGGGGAGAGTGGAGAGAAGAGAGGAGGAGAAGGGGAGAGGGGAAGTCTGGGAGAGGGGGAGAGGGGAAGTCCGGGAGAGGGGGAGAGGGGGATAGGTGGAGAGGGGGAGAGCAGAGAGGGGAGAAGGGGGAGAGATAGGTATGTAGAAACGATCCTTACCAGGTGAGGAGGTTGATTTGAGTGAGTTAAGGCTGTGAGGATTGTGCCAAAGAGATACCCGAGCACCAGCCAGCTCAGCAGCCTCTCACTCCTCCCCTTCCCATACCACCTCCCACACACGCCTCTTTCCCCCACACCCACACACACTCACCTGAGCTCAGTGTCGCGGTATTATGAAGCCAGGAGGGCCACATAATAACCGGGACAGCGCAGAGATTTTATCGGCAGTAGAGCAGCAGGAATGCAGCAGAGGCAGAATCAGAAGGGAGGAAGAACGGGGGAGGGACAGGGATGGAGGGCGAAGGCAAGGAGAAGCAGTGTACATAATTGTACAATAGCGCCCAGGAATGTTTGCGTGAGAATGTTGGGATACGGGTTGGGGTGTATGCTTCTTTTGTGTGACGCATGTTACGTTTCCTGTACAGGGCGGGCGAGACGCTGTTGACGCGTACGAGCACAGCGCAATCGACAGGTGGCAGGAGCTGCAGTGCAACATGCAAGCCAAGCGTGCAGCTGGCGGAGGGCTCGTGCTGGAGCCCATGCAGATCCAGACCGCCTGCGGTTTGTAAATACGACTCGGTACCCCCGAGCCTCGCCCATGTGATGAATGTGTGCTAGAAGCGCTAGGCTAGGGCGGAAGAGTCATGTTGTACATAGCTGTGCTGAAACCCTAGTGTTGGCTGCTTCGTTGTATGTTTCCCATTCGCTTCAATGTAATCCTGTTATACCAGCCACAGGTGGTCATGAGCACGCTAGGGAACCAGCTTGTCAGTCATTAGCAGTGAGGAGATTTTCTGAGTGAGGTATCACGATGGAGTTCTATCACAGGGCACACGGTATACGGCAGACAAGTAGTTGTTAGTGCCCCAGCAGCAACAGCAAGGAAGGTCGGCAAGTGAGTAGTCCAGGGGGGCGGGTAAGCAGAGGCCTGCAGGCAGGAACGGCAGGAGTCAAGAGAGAGGGGCCACACAGAGAATTTCCGACATCAGCGAACCGTCTCTCGAAAGGCGACACTGTTTCATCCTGCCCGGGCTGCTCCCAATCCCCCCCGGCCCCTCGCCCCTTTCCTCCCAACACTCCTACCACCCCCTTCCCAGTCTCCTCCCCTCCTCCCTCCCCACCCACACACTCACCTGAGCTCAACGAAACGTCTCTCAAAAGGCGACACTGTTTCGTCCTGCCCGGAATGCTCCCGGTCGCTCCCTGCTGCCCCCTCCTCCCCGTGTCTCTCTGGAATCCCTCCACCGCCCGCCATGCTGTGAGCAGCACTGGGAGCATCTCGGGTGAGAGAGGTGGCTGTAGAGCCATGCTGCTGCATGCTGCTGCGGTCCATGCTGCTCTGCTGCATGCTGTGATCATGCATGTTGTCATCATGCATGTTGTGACGCATGCCATGACCATGCATGCTATGGCGCCGCCTGTGGTCCCTGTCAGCGTGGACATGGCCTACAGCCTCAAACGAAATCCGAGACAAAGTGGTCAGCGCTCTGGACAGCTGTCTCTGAAGATGAGTCAGCGGGGGATAGGTCTCTAACCCGCCTTCATCACCCCCCGCCGCCTCTCCTCCCTCCCCACCACTGCCTGCTTCCTTTTCCCTCTCCCCCATTCTCTTCCACTCCGCTGCTTCCCTCCGCGACTGGGCCTCCATTTTCTCCATGGCGTGAATGAAAAACGCGTCATTGTTCTCGCCTCGGGTCAGCACACTCTCTGACCTTGTCAGCGCAACCCCGTTGTTGCTGCCAGCCTGTTCCCCGACATCTGACCTTGTTGACATCAATGGGAACACGCCCTTAGCTTCCTCCTCTCGCAGGTGCTTCAGGAAGTAGTGCCTCCTGATGAGAACCGGGATGAGGGATGTGAAAACGGGAAAAACGTCACCATCAACAACACCATCAGCAGCAGCAGCACCTGATCGAATGTGGAAACGTTCATACGGACGGATGCGAGGCCTGCAACGGTCAGTGCGGATGTGCAGTTATAGAGTGCGTCTATAAAAGAGATTTTTCCGAGGCTGCCGACTGGAGTGGCGAGCATAATCAGCGTGGCTATCAGGTCGACAATAACGAAGGAGAGGAAGTGGATTCGATAAAAGGTAATCTGAGAGCGGAGCCACGCGACGAAGGAACGCCAATTGACGTGCTTGAAACGGTGCCAGAGCATAGGTGAATTCTCAGGGTGGTCAGGAGGGCTGTTGGAGACAGAGTGAAGCCAGTTTCCAATTCTAAAGCGAAGCGAGCCGCTTGAAGTGTTTGCCGTGTCTGACGTGGCCTTATTTTGCTCTTCCGCCATGGAAATTCTGATTGCCCGGTTCATAGTTACACGCAGGAAAATACATAACCAGAAACTCGACCAGAAGAAGAAACATAACCTGATGGCAACGACCAGGCTTGACGGAATGATGTGGTTGGATAATGCGGACGCGAAAATACGTTTATTGCGAAGAGTGAGAGCACCATACCTCGGTTCTAGTGCTTCTGTTTCAATCTCTTCAACGTTCCGTGTCCTTGCTATCGTCATCGAATCTTAAATAGATCGTAATTTAATACCTGCGATATAATATAACGTGACCTTCGACAATGTGATAAGCTTGACAGGCTTACGGATAAGATTGCCAAACGCGCGAAGCGTTTCATGGGCATCAGGATGATCGGAGCCAAGTTTGGAGCTAACCCAGAGCTTCGTGGTGCTGAGCAAAAATGACAAAGCCATGCCACGACACATTCGAACGTGGGGATGATCGTAACGAGGGGCCTTAGCGAACGATTCACGGAGGAACTGTTGACGAAGTTCCATGATCCGTTTTTACGGAGCGGAGCAATGGCGGATTATGAAAGTTCACCCCCAGTTCATGCGTGAAAGTTCAGGCTGCTAGGCAGAGAGGTTCATAGTTGTGAAGCGTCCTAGAATCTAGATGCTTCTATGTGTACCCATGCCATCCATGCCCTAGTACAAGTTGGAAGGAACATCGCCATGGATGGATCATGGTACAGACGCCGATAGGGGCGTGTCCAACAAGAGGGAGGCGTGAAATCTTCCAAACACCTGGTTACGGTTCCAGTGCCGCTTGTTTCACTCGAGGATATGGTAAACAATCGCCAGTCAGTCAGAATCCGTTGACGTTCGTCGACATCCTGCCAAATTCCCTCCCAGTCACGCTTACGCAACCTCGCTTTGAGATGCACGCGACTTCATACGAACTGGTTAGTGCATTTAGCCCTTGTGAGGAGCCACTTGCTACAGATTTATTTAATAATTTCAACAACACAACGGCAACAAAAGGATTCTGGACTGACTGCATGATATGATAGAAGATGCGAGCTTCATGCAGCGCACAGGAAAGAATTAGCTAGTGTGAACCCGATATGGCACTTCTGAAGGAACGGACGAGGGCACTGAAGATGGCACGGCTCCAGGAGTTGATTGAGTAACATGCAGCCTGCGAACAAACAACGTATGGTTGCATGGATGGATTAGAGTGTATTGCATGTGCATGTACTCATGAGTCCTGAGTTGGTGGCAGCCTGCAGCGAAGAGACTCCAGCCAGAAAAAGCCTTGGTCGGGGCACACAAATGCAGATAGGAACGCAGGCGCTTGAACGCAGAGGACAAAACAGACAACGGCGCATGAGACTAGCATAAGACACACATGCCATTCCAGGTCCTAGTACCCCAAATTCTACCACAAGAGGGTTGCAATGAGTCGCGTGCGTGCACACACATTCACACACAGGCGTGAGGGCTACGTACGAGGAGAGGCGGCTTATGAGAGAGCTGGGCTGATGTGTAATTTGAGACGAGTCAGAATACACGTCACACACATGGATCAGTGCGAGGGCTACGTACGAGGAGATGCGGCGCATGAGAGAGCTGGGCTGAGACTTGGTCATTGTGAGTGCCCGTGTGAGCAGCACAGCGGGATCCTCTGTGACACCAGACAGGAAAGGAGGTGGTGGGGCGGGAAAAGTACCCGGCAACGCCATGGGCGGCGGGGGTACACAAGAAAACATGAAAGGATGAAAATAAGAGTACGAGTCCTAGAGTGGAGTCATGGCAGTGGGGTCACTTGTGCGTACAATCGATCTGACTTATCCGTACCACACATGTGCGACGTTACGACTTGGCTGTGAAACCACAACATTACCATGCTCCCTCAGTCCCGCTCCCACAATCGCCCTGGATTACCTCGCATGTCATTAGCTCGCGTCACCTGTGATTCGCTGGGCAGGCCGGCGCTGGAACTGCTTGGGCGGCGGAATGACAATGGCGGCGTCGATGTTGTCTGGTAGCCCTCTGTGGCGCCCCAGCAGCATCACGAGGATGACTATTAGCTTAGAGAGCACTGACCACGAGCCTGCCGGGTAGGATTGAAAAGTGGGGAAAGAAGGGAGGAGGAAGGGGAGCAGGGTCAGCAAGAGCACAGGCAGACCTCTGTGCCGCCCCAGCAGCATCACGAGGATGACTATTAGCTTAGAGAGCACTGACCACGAGCCTGGTGGGTTTATGAGAGGAGAGGGGAAAGGAGGGAAGAGGAGGAAGGGAAGCATCTGTGAAGCAAAAACGCCTCTGGTGCACCCACCTGGGAAGCTGCAAAGCAAGACGACTATGGTGTGTACCTGAAAAGCTGTAGGGCGGCGCGTCTGTGCAGTCGGGGTTGCTGGTGGGGCAGCTGTTTCCCAGAGACAGTCCCACGTTGCCGTAGGCACTGTGTGATGATGAGGGAAGGAAGTAAGAGCGAAGAGGGAATTTTGAGTTTTGAGTTGCCAAGAACAATGGTAATTGCAGTTGCAGGTGGGGCAGCTGTTTCCCAGAGACAGTCCCACGTTGCCGTAGGCAGTGCGTGATGATAGGGCGGGTTGGAGGCAGGCCGAGGGGACAACAACTGCTGAGGCACCTTAAATATGAATCTCCAAGAGACACGCCCGCATTGCCACAGGAACTGGGGGTGGTGGGGTGGTGTGGAGGGGAAGATGGGAGGAGGAAAACGGAGGAGGATGGAAAGAGCAGGCGATGGGAGCAGAAAGACTAGCCTATAGGCAGTGGGTGGTGATGAGATGGAGTGGGGAAGGAGGGAAGATTTAGGTGCCATGCATCTACGTGGCTGGCAATGAACATGCGTTAGGTACAACTATTCGAGTCAACTCAAACTAGCCCAAACCAGGGCAGGGAGGGAAAGTACTTTTCGACTCGTAAGTCTTTTGAGGCACCTCCAAGGGAGAGTACCTTGATCACTTTGAAGACAGTCCAGTTGGCTGGATCAGAACTAAATTCCCCGTTCTGAATGCCACAGATGAGGAAGATGGAGACAAACAGATACACCGAGTCCTGCGCCACCATGTGCCATGGACTGCCACCATGTGCCACGGAATGCCACCATGTGCCACGGACGGACTGCCACCATGTGCCATGGACTGCCACCATGTGCCACGGACTGCCACCATGTGCCACGGACTGCCACCAGGTGCTGCCCCTGTGCTGCCAGGAGCGAGAAAACCAGCACAGGACGAGTCCCATCCGGCCGCATTTCAGTCGACTCAATCGACGCCAAACCAGGGCAGGGGGGAGCGTACCTAATAATCTCAAAAATCACTTTGAAGACAGTCCAGTTGGCTGGGTCGGAGTTGAATTCCCCGTTCTGGATGACGCAGATGAGGAAGACCGAGACAAACAGGTACACCGAGTCCTGTGCCACCAGGTGCCGGCCCTGCGCCAGCACGGAGGAGTCAAGCACGCCCCCATGCAGGTCCTCTGAGAAGACAGCTAGGTCGTCCGAGTCTTGCACGTCGCGCTGCTCTCGGGAGGACTGACGTGTGAGAAAGACCGGGTAGACCGCCATGTACCTGGGGAGAGGAACGGGGGAGGAGGGGAGAGGGTAAGAAATGGTGGAAGGAGGTTGGACTGAGGAGTGGGGTGGAAGGGAAGGGCGGAGGATTCCTGTGCCACCAGGTGCCGGCCCTGCACAAGCACGGAGAGTCAAGCACGCCCCCATGCAGGTCCTCTGCAAAGCCTGCTAGGTCGTCCGAGTCTTGCAGGTCGCGCTGCGCACGGGAGGACTGGCGCGTGAGCAACACCGGGTAAACCGCCACGTACCTGGGAGATGGGGGAGGGAGGAGGGAGTAGGGAGGAGGAGGTGAGATGGAGGGTTTAACTTGTCCCCATATTTGCTTCCCTGCACGCCCCCATGCAGGTCCTCTGCGAAGACTGCTAGGTCGTCCAAGTCCTCCGCGCTGCTCGCAGGAGGACTGGCGTGCGCGCAGACCAAGGCGTGCGCGCGGACCGAGTCTCGAGCGTGGACCTTGCGCGCGAACCAAGGCGCACGCGCGGACCGAGGCGCGCATGAAGACCAAGACGCGCGCGCGCAGGACCAAGGCGCGCGCGTGGAACAAAGCACGCACGTGGACCAAGGCGCGCTCGTGGACCAAGGCGCGCGCGTGGACCAAGGCGCGCGCGTGGACCAAGGCGCGCGCGTGGACCAAGGAGCGCGCGTGGACCAAGTCGCGCGTGCGGACGAAGTCGCGTGGAGGGAAGAGGGACAAGTAGGATGGTGGCCCTAATGGTCGTCCGTGTCATGCACGTGGCGCTGCTCTCAGGAGGATTGACGCGTGAGGAACACCGGGTAGACTGCCACGCACCTGGGGTGAGGGATGGGGGAGTGGGGGAGGGGCAGGCGGGATGAGGGAGGTGCGAGGGGGGAGAAGTATGCAAGGGCGATGAATGGGGGAATGGGATGGACGGAGGAGAAGAGAAGGAGAAGGGAGGGAAGGCAGGGGCACCGAGGAGAAGGTGGAGCAGGCACGAAGGGGGGGAACGGTAGGGAGAGGGCGCAGCAAGCAGCACGGAGTATAGCAAGGCCTAAATTGGCTGGCCTGGGTAAGTGTGGCAGGAAGCGTGCCCGGGGGTCCTTTTGAGGCGCCTCAAAAGTAAGCCCGGCGGTAAGGTAAGCCCTGGTGGCCCAGACTCACATGAAGGTAAGCCCTGGTGGCCCAGACTCACATGAAGGTAAGCCCTGGTGGCCCAGACTCACATGAAGGTAAGCCCTGGTGGCCCAGACTCACATGAAGGTAAGCCCTGGTGGCCCAGACTCACATGAAGGTAAGCCCTGGTGGCCCAGACTCACATGAAGGTAAGCCCTGGTGGCCCAGACTCACATGAAGGTAAGCCCTGGTGGCCCAGACTCACATGAAGGTAAGCCCTGGTGGCCCAGACTCACATGAAGGTAAGCCCTGGTGGCCCAGACTCACATGAAGGTAAGCCCTGGTGGCCCAGACTCACATGAAGGTAAGCCCTGGTGGCCCAGACTCACATGAAGGTAAGCCCTGGTGGCCCAGACTCACATGAAGGTAAGCCCTGGTGGCCCAGACTCACATGAAGGTAAGCCCTGGTGGCCCAGACTCACATGAAGGTAAGCCCTGGTGGCCCAGACTCACATGAAGGTAAGCCCTGGTGGCCCAGACTCACATGAAGGTAAGCCCTGGTGGCCCAGACTCACATGAAGGTAAGCCCTGGTGGCCCAGACTCACATGAAGGTAAGCCCTGGTGGCCCAGACTCACATGAAGGTAAGCCCTGGTGGCCCAGACTCACATGAAGCCACAAAAGAGGAAGTTGGTGGCGGCAGTGAGGTTTGAGAGGGTGATGGTGGAGTATGGTGGAAAGTCGAGTCGAATGTCACCTCAGCCCGGCACCCACAGGCTCACATGAAACCACAAAAGAGGAAGTTGGTGAGTCTGGGTGAAATGTCGAGTCAAATGTCACCTCAGCCCGGCACCCACAGACTCACATGAAACCACAAAAGAGGAAGTTGGTGGCAGCTGTGAGGTAGGAGATGTTGACAATGGAGTAGCCCGCGTTGCGCGTGCTCACAGACTGCATCCAGCTGTCGAAGAATCGGTACCCACCTGCGAGGGAGCAGGAGTAGTGGGGGGGAGAGGGAGGGAGAGGGAGTGTGTGGTATAAGTAGGGGCAAACAGGCTGACAATGGAATGGAGCACCCCTTCTTAAACCTGCGCGTGAGGAAGCACCCACTGTGTGTGTGCTCTGCTCACTGACTGCATCCAGCTGTCAAAGAAACGGTACCGACCTGGTGGGAGAGAGGTGGTAATTGGAAAATTGGGGAGAACGAGAGGTAGGCAGGAGAGGGTGATGATAAGTTTTTAACGAGACTCACAGGCTGCATGGCATGGCATGGCATGGCATCAAGTGGTGCTGAAGCCGACAATGGCGAGCAGCAGCCAGAGCGTCTGTCTGTGTGGGTGGGAAGAGGCCATGCCTTGCGCTTACAGCTGAGCGCAGCATTGGCTTGAATTGACAGTTTCAGACGAGGGCCACGAGGAAGAAAGCAACCTTCGAGCATGAGATCAGGAGGTTTTGGAGGGGGTTCTAATCACCACCGTGCCGTGCACTCACCTCCGAGCCCTTCAAAGGCCTGGGAGTTCCAGTCGAGAGCCATAATAAAGAAAGCCTGGATGGTGTTGAATGTGACGATTGTGAGCAGCAGCCAGAGCGTCTGCTTGTGTGGGAAGAGCTGCGTGTAGCACTTGCGCGGATGGTCCAACAGGTACTTGGTTATGTGCCTGACAGGGGGGAAGGGGAGTGGGGGGAGGAGAGTGGGAGGGAGAGGAAAGAGCTGTGTGTGTGTAGCACTTGCGCTGATGGGCGAACCGGTACTGAGTTATGTGCCTGATGGTCGAACCGGTACTGAGTTATGTGCCTGATGGTCGAACCGGTACTGAGTTATGTGCCTGATGGTCGAACCGGTACTGAGTTATGTGCCTGATGGTCGAACCGGTACTGAGTTATGTGCCTGATGGTCGAACCGGTACTGAGTTATGTGCCTGATGGTCGAACCGGTACTGAGTTATGTGCCTGATGGTCGAACCGGTACTGAGTTATGTGCCTGATGGTCGAACCGGTACTGAGTTATGTGCCTGATGGGCGGAAGGGGAGTGGGGGAATAGAGAGGAGGGAAGAGAGGGGGAAGGAAAGGGGGGAATGGTATCTTAAAAGCATCCCGCAGGCACAGCACAGCAGCGCAAGGCGAGGGGATTCGCCATTCTTGTCTGTGAGACCAAACCCTGTCTCTCTGTTTGTCTGTGAGACCAAACCCTGTCTCTCTGTTTGTCTGTGAGACCAAACCCTGTCTCTCTGTTTGTCTGTGAGACCAAACCCTGTCTCTCTGTTTGTCTGTGAGACCAAACCCTGTCTCTCTGTTTGTCTGTGAGACCAAACCCTGTCTCTCTGTTTGTCTGTGAGACCAAACCCTGTCTCTCTGTTTGTCTGTGAGACCAAACCCTGTCTCTCTGTTTGTCTGTGAGACCAAACCCTGTCTCTCTGTTTGTCTGTGAGACCAAACCCTGTCTCTCTGTTTGTCTGTGAGACCAAACCCTGTCTCTCTGTTTGTCTGTGAGACCAAACCCTGTCTCTCTGTTTGTCTGTGAGACCAAACCCTGTCTCTCTGTTTGTCTGTGAGACCAAACCCTGTCTCTCTGTTTGTCTGTGAGACCAAACCCTGTCTCTCTGTTTGTCTGTGAGACCAAACCCTGTCTCTCTGTTTGTCTGTGAGACCAAACCCTGTCTCTCTGTTTGTCTGTGAGACCAAACCCTGTCTCTCTGTTTGTCTGTGAGACCAAACCCTGTCTCTCTGTTTGTCTGTGAGACCAAACCCTGTCTCTCTGTTTGTCTGTGAGACCAAACCCTGTCTCTCTGTTTGTCTGTGAGACCAAACCCTGTCTCTCTGTTTGTCTGTGAGACCAAACCCTGTCTCTCTGTTTGTCTGTGAGACCAAACCCTGTCTCTCTGTTTGTCTGTGAGACCAAACCCTGTCTCTCTGTTTGTCTGTGAGACCAAACCCTGTCTCTCTGTTTGTCTCTCTCTCCCCTCGCTCGCACACACAGCGCACAGCCCACTCACCATCGGCTGCTGCCCTTCCTGCTCGTCCTGTGAAGCAGCGCCGGCACGCCTCTGAGCGTGGGGGCGTACATGGTGTTGCCCACCAGGATCAGCACGGCCACAACCAGCAGGAGCAGAAGCAGGCGCTTCTATCTCCCCTTCCACGGCCCATACAGCACTCACCATCGGCTGCTGTCCTTCTTGCTGGTTGAATGGAGTAGTGCCAGCACGCCACGGAGCATGGGGGCGTACATGGTGTTGCCCACCAGGATCAGCACGGCCACGACCAGCAGGTACGGCACATTGCGCTGGAAGGGAATGAGGTTCTCGTCCATTAGTCCGAACCCCGCGTTGGCGAATGCTGACACGGACTGGAAGGCCGAGTTGAAGACCACGTTGATGCCCTTGCCTGGGGGGAATGGAGAGCGGCAAGCGTGCACAGCGGTTTTTGAGGTGAACCGAAATGCGTGCATGACGGGTGCGGAAGGGGCAGAAGAATCTTAAGGGATGACAACCGATCCGACTCAACAGTCAAGCAGCTTGAGTGTAAGGCAGCAAGTTCAAGCTACTCGCCTGTTTTTGAGTCGACTCAAAGGCAGCAAGTTCAAGCTACTCGCCTGTTTTTGAGTCGACTCAAAGGCAGCAAGTTCAAGCTACTCGCCTGTTTTTGAGTCGACTCAAAGGCAGCAAGTTCAAGCTACTCGCCTGTGAGCAGATCGTGGTATTCGGGCCACCACCAGGTGATGAGGATGAAGAGAATAAAGGCAGCAAGGATAGTGCCGAAGAAATACGCGGGCACCAGCCAGCTCAGCAGCTCCAGGGCCCTGCACGGGGGAAGAGGTGCCCAAAGAGGGACAATGGTGAAGAGGTGCCCAAAGAGGGACAATGGTGAAGCTGACAACGCTTGAGGCGCCTCAAAGAAATACGCGGGCACCAGCCAGCTCAACAGCTCCACGGCCCAGCAGAGAGGGAAGAGAAGAGAAGGTTGAAAAGAGGGCAGGAGAAGAGAAGGTTGAAAAGAGGGCAGGAGAAGAGAAGGTTGAAAAGAGGGCAGGAGAAGAGAAGGTTGAAAAGAGGGCAGGAGAAGAGAAGGTTGAAAAGAGGGCAGGAGAAGAGAAGGTTGAAAAGAGGGCAGGCGAAGAGAAGGTTGAAAAGAGGGCAGGAGAAGAGAAGGTTGAAAAGAGGGCAGGAGAAGAGAAGGTTGAAAAGAGGGCAGGAGAAGAGAAGGTTGAAAAGAGGGCAGGCGAAGAGAAGCCCCGCACAGTCTCCGTCTCCCCCGGTTGCTCCATTCGGCCCCTGTCCCCTTCCCCCCCCCCCCCTCCTACTTCGTACCTCTTTCCCCTGTCCTCTCCCCCCCATTCCCCCACACCCACACACACTCACCTGAGCTCAACGAATCGTCTCTCAAAAGGCGCCACTGTTTCCTCCTGCCCAGGCTGCTCCCAATCGCTCCCTGCCCCCACGCCCCCCTCGCCCCCCTCCTCTCCATACTCCTCCGAATGCTCCTCCGCAATCCCCCCACCAATCGGCCTGTTCCGACTGCTCGCCACGCTGTGAACAGCACTGGAGCCCCCCCTGGGGGGAAAGGCGGCTGCAGCAGCAGTTGACTCATGGTGCTGCATGCTGCTGTGCTGCATGCTACTACCGTGCTGCATGCTGCTGTGCTGCATGCTGTGATCATGCGTGCTATGACTCTGCATCATATGGCTCTGCGTGCTATGGCTCTGCATGAACTGGCTCTGCATGGAGCCTCGGCCAGAGTGTGCATGCGCAACAGGTTCATTTGAAATCCGAGACACAGTGGTCAGAGCTCGAGACAGCTTCCTCTGCAGCCGAGTCAGTGGAGGGTTTCTCCCAACCCCGCCTTCCTCACCCCCATCCTCTCCTCCCTCCCCACCGCCACCAGCCTCCCTTTCCCTCTCCCTCATTCTCTCCCACTCTGCCTCTTCCCTCCGCATCTCCGCCTCTATTTTCCCCATGGCATGTCGGATAAACGCGTCGTTGTTCTCGCCCCGGGTCAGCACACTATCTGACCGTGTAAACGCAGCCCTGTTGCTGCGGCCGGGCTGTTCCCCAACGTCTGATGTCGTTGCCAGCAGTGGGAACGCGCCCTTAGCTTCCTCCTCTCGCAGGTGCTTCAGGAAATAGTGCCTTCGAATAAGAACCGGGACGAGCGAAGTGAAAATGGCACTGCCTATCATCATGAGCAGCAGCAGCAGGACCTGATCAAATGTGGAAAAAACATTCATACGGACGGACGCGAGGCCTGTAACGGTCAGTGCAGACGTGCAGTTAAAGAGTGCGTCTATAAAGGAGATTTTTCCCAGGCTGCCGGCAGGAGTGGCGATCATAATTAGCGCAGCAATAAGATCAACTATAACAAAGGAGAGGAAGTGGATTCGATAGAAGGTCACTTGATTGCGGAGCCACGCGAGGAACGAACGTCCATTGACGTGCTTGAAACGGTGCCAGAGTGCAGGTGAATTCTCAGGGTGCTCAGGAGGGTTGTTGATGGAGACAGAGTGAAGCCAGTGTCCATTTTTGAAACGAAGAGAGCCGCCTGAAGAGTTTGCCGTGTCTGGCATGACCTTGCTTTGCTCTTCCGCCATAGGAATCCTGATTCTCCGTTCATGATTAGTAGTTACACGCAGGGAAATGCATGATAAAACATTGAAGGAAGAGAACATTTTCGGCATTGACTCCATTACGCCAGGTTCGAAAGCTAGAAAAAAACTTTGAAAATGAAAAAGGAGGAAAAAAAAAACAAACAAACCAACAAAAGAACTTCGTGGGAACGACCTGATGATGGCAATGACCAGGCTTGACAAAATGTGGTTAGATAATGCAGAATTGACACCATTGGTGAAGTCAACAGAACGCGACAGCACGGTAAGACCATACCTTGGTCCTAATGCTTCGGTTTCGGTTTCTTCTACGTCCCGCGTCGTTGCTGTCGTCATTTAGTAAATTAAAACCTACAGTCTGATTTTTGCTATTTATCTTAACTACGCACTTCTAATGAGAACCCGGCAAGCAAGCTTTTCAAGAGATAGACGTGCCTTCTACCGACTACTTCTGACAACCTACAACACATGACTGCCAATGCACCTGACAGGTTTCAGAACTAAAATCGCCTCACATGCTCCATGTACATCAGGAGGATGGATGATCAGAAGAACCAGAGCCAAGGTCCAGACACCAGAGTTGGTGTTCATGAAAGTTCGTTACAGTTCACCCATGAATGTTCAGGCTGCTGCTGAGCTGAGTTGAGGAGTTCAAAGTTGTGAAGGGGTGAAACCGCTTCATCGTACTCAACCGTTTCCAATAAGCAAATTAACGAGCCCGAGCTCACGACGAACAATGTACGCGGCAGGGCATTCTCCATTGTCATACAGGTACGGTTTCTACAATCCAGCTCAAGCATCAAATACACAAACGAATGTGGCTTCGGTACCTGTGTGTAGAGGATAACGAGGTGCAGTTATGTGCTCCCACCCAGGCCTGTCGATTGACGGGCATATTCCCTTAATGCCCTGAAATTCCGGGTTACTTTCGCTCCAGCTCGACTGCATAAAGTGTTAGGATCGCATTGCACCCGTGCCACTAAGTGCCTCGTCAGACCCTTCCCCGGACGCGTTAAGTTCTCCAATCAGGCCTTCCCCACCCACTAAGTTTTGGTTTCCGGTTGTAGGCCCCCCCCCCCCCCGAATTCTGCCTTCCCACCCCCACCCACCCCCCCCCCCCCCCCCCCCCCCCCCCCCCCCCCCCCCACCCCCCGAGAGCGCGCCAACGGGATTTTTCCCTTAGCGTTTTCGAGCCAATCCCGTCCGTATCTGTAAAGTGGCTGAGACACACATGGAGCACTCGAACTTTCCCTTAGCGTCCAAGCCAATACTAGCTGGCCGCATGTTACAGCTGGGAGGACACCTTGGCCCTGTTCGCCACGACCACGATATAGGCAAGGGGCGGGGGTTGGGCAAGGCTCTAGAAGGTGCGCCGGAAGATGCGAACTACGTCCGGGGGCTCGCCCCGAATGGAAATTTCTCCAAAGGGATCCGGAAGGGGGCCAAGGGGATCTGGCACCTCCCCCCCCACCTTCGTTTAGGGCGGGACTTTTTTTCCCGCCTCTGATCCACAACCAGAGAAAAAAAGAAACAAATCAGCCCGGGTAAAAAGTGTCGAAAAAAGAAAAGGTCCTTCACAGCCCGGGTAAAAAGTGTCGAGAAAAGAAAAGGCCCGGGAGAATGTTTTCTCTCTCCATAACGGATTTCTTCTAGCTAAGTTGAAAGGAATAGAAGTCGTAATCGAGGTTCTTACTAACGTCGGTAAGGGGGGCTAGGCGCGATCGTAATTGACGGACAAGAGCAATGACGGACTTGAAGCAGCTATCTTATCAGTGGGTGTTGAATGCCACTCGGGAGGGCGAAAATTTGTTGTTCCGGGCCGGTTCTGATGACACGTTGGCGTTTACCCTGCCCTCAAATCCCCCGGCCATCCCGTTAGGCGCCTACGAAATTGGTGGTCTGCACGAGGGAGAGTCGATGGAGGGGATGGGGTTCCGAGCTGGCAGGACAGGAAACTGCCAGGCGCATTCTGGATCCCCCGCCCATCCCTTCGATGGCCCAGAAAAGTGGGTGTTCGCCACGACAGCGAGCCCTCCGAGGTTCGGAGGGGATCGTCAGGCTCGACAGGATTTTGTCGGTCTGACCGGCCCTAAAACCCTGATTTCACCCCTTTTCGAAGGTGCAGGGCGGATTCCAGATCCCCCGCCCATCCCTCTGAAGGCCCGGCAAAGGCGTGGCGAACAGGGCCGTAGGATTAGCGTGCCTGAATTTGGCTAAGTTGATTGGCCGCATGTGTAGTGTCAGGTGTCTTTGACTTCTAATTTAAGTAGATAACTGCACTTGTCATAGTGTAAAGAAGTGTAAGGGCAAACTTCAGACATGCCCTGATTTCAAGTTCTGACTTTGGGGTGTGCCCGTGACCCTTAAGGGCGCCAAATCAATCACCTACCCCCAACCAAGGGTCAGATTGGGAGGAGCTGGGGAGCGCAAGTTCGAGCCCCAGGGACTTCGACAGGCCTGCTCCCACCTCCAATGCACACTCGTCACGTCGTCCTCATTGCACGTCGTTCTCACTACGCACACTCCCTTCCCACGGCGGGCGGGTCTGGTTGTTGTGAGGTCTCGTTTCAAGAAGTGCAGCTCGATTGGGTTGGTCAGATGGTTTGCGTTGAAGAGTGGTATCGAATATTTTAGAACGGTTGAGTAGAGTCTGCGAAAAGGCTCCAACGTAGCCACCGTGTGGGACAAAGGCGTTGTCTCGTTCTGGCTGCTGTGTGTCTGACTGAACAGTTGAGTTATACTGTAGTCCAGGTTACTACCGTACAGTTGCTCTTTTTGGGCAGCCCTCCGAAGTGTACAGTCGGTTCTCATTTCAAGAACACCAGGTAGCGGGCGGCATGTGCGTGAAACGTGTTTCAAGCTCTTCGCCACATTCGCCCTTGTCGCCACGGGAAAAAAGGTGACTGTAATATGAAATTGCATTGTGAATCGAGTTAAGGGTTTTAATTTCGTAACCTTGTATACTTTTCAGATGACGGGCAACCGTTGTTGTTTATGAACTGTAGATGTTTTTCTTCCTCAACTTGGTGACTGTACCCCGAAATCGGCACAATGGTCAATTTAGTCACTCACGGGAAAAAACGTTCGCGAGTGACTGAATTTGTAATTGTAGGGAGCAAATGTTTTGTGATGGGCTGAGCATCGACTGTATACAGTAAGCCATCCGAATAACTGTACAGTTCTCAACGAAAAGTCAACTCCCCAATCAAAACTTTGGATGAGATTTGTGGTCAGGAAAATGTTCCCCACCCTCGCAGCCTTGGGATTGAGCACACGGAGTTGTGTGTCTGGGATTGCAACTCTTAGGTTGTCTGGTCTGCCATGGTCAGAAATGGTGGTAACTAAGCACCCTACTTTGACTGTGGTGAAATGAAACCGCAACAACGAACCGCGCTTCATGACCAGAGCAGGACTTGCGGAAGCATTATTTCGCCTAATGTGTGTAGGCTAGGACGTCTTTACAACTCATCCATTCTGACCTAGAATCTAAAGCAGGAAACAAGCGTCTCACACTTTTCACGGGATGCTGCTCCGAATAAAAAACTTCGTTTGTGGTCCAACATTTCGTCAAACATCATCCGGCTTGCGGTAGTCGCACCGCTATTTAGCTACGATTCAGGTTCTTTTGACATTGCGGTACGGCGCATGTTCTCGAATGTGTCGATAGTATTCAAGTTAGGTCATTTCTACTGCGTCACCAGCACGTGCTGAGCCAACGGGAGTCTGCAACCGACACTCATGCGTAAACGAGTTTTCTCTGTCAGCCCTATGCCATTGTTCTCGTCCTAACCCAACCATCCACATGGCCGGGGTGAGTGAGTTTCCGAAGCTGTTGCGGTCGCTTAGCACTGGTGCGCGACCCTCGCAGTCCTCTCGTAGAGCCTCGCGCTGACCTCTGAGTCGACCAAAAAGTCATGCTGGGCGTGGCGGGACTGCCGAAGCTGTCACGGTCACTTAGTATTGATGAGGAACCCTCTCAGTCCGCTCGTAGGACCTCGCGAGACAGAGACACGAGAGATGAAGAAAAGAGAGAGGGAGAAGAGCGGGCGAGGGGAGGTGACAGGCCGAGCAGCTTCACGAAATCTTAATCCGTCGCACAGCGGCTGTGCGACAACCACTGGCGACTCGAGCGACCGCGAGAGGGTATCCTTCCGCAGCGACGCGGAGCTCGATGCGCTTCATGGCTGCGGCAACGGCCATGGCTTCTTCTGCGTTCCCTGCCTGCAGCCTCTCATCTCCCGCGAAATGCGCTCCAACCCCTCTGACGCGCCTGACTCGTCTCTCACGCCTAACCCTTCCCGCACGCCTGATGCTTCCCCCGCGCCTAACTTTCTCCGCTCGCCTAACCCTTTCCGCTCGCCTGATTCCTTTCGCGCGCCTGATTCCCTCCGCGCGCCTGACTCCTTCCGAGCGGCTGACTCCTTCCGCGCGCCCGATTCTTCCCGCGCGCCTGATTCCTCCCTCACCTCTCTCAGCTCGCGCAACTTGGCCGCTTCCATCGGGCCTGGCGGCAGTAGTAGGCGCAATCGTCACCGTCAGCAGCACGGACGGTCACGATCTGCTGCGGCGCTCGAGCCGATTCCGCGTTCTCCAGCGACATTAGCGTGGCAGCACTCTGCTGGTCTTCGCAGCCCCGGTCTAGACTCCGTTAACCTTCGCTCTGTCGGCAATAGTAGCCGGAGTGTGCAATCAGACCGTCCCGACTCTGCTGAGCGACAGGAAGCGTCGTCCGGGCGACTGGAAGCGTCATCGTGGCGACAGGAAGCGTCGTCTTGGCGACAGGAAGCGTCGTCTTGGCGACAGGATGCGTCTTCTGGGCGGCTGGAAGCGTCGTCTGGGCGGCTGGAAGCGTCGTCTGGGCGGCTGGAAGCGTCGTCTAGGCGACTGGAAGTGTCGTCTGATCGACTAGAAGGTGTTTTCGAGATGTTAGACGGAGAGGCGGGGCTGGTGGGGGAAGCGTCTGGGCGATCCGAAGAGTCGCATGGGCGACGGAGTGTCGCAGGCGACGCGGCGAGCGATAGGAGCGCGTCGTCGAGACGAGTGGGAGCAGCGGAAAGCAGTTCACACGGTGAGGGTGGTGAGATCAGCCCGGACGGCCGACTAGACGACGAACATAGGGACGAAATCAGGCCTGACGGACAAACAGACGACGAGGTTGACGTTAACGGAAAACGTCAACGTTCTGGCAGGCGGGCATCACGGTTGCGAGTGAGGTGGGGGCCAGACTCACCCGACAGGGATACCCCGGGAGAACAGGGCAAGCCAAAATCACGGCTGCGAGTGAGGTGGGGGCCAGACTCACCCGACAGGGATACCCCGGGGGCAGCGGGAGAGGGCTGGGGTGGTATAGTTGGTGCGAGCAGCAGGAGCTTCAGGCATGTAGCAAGCTTTCTCCAGAATTCCTGGCGCCAGGATTTGCCTGACTCGCCCCCGAGCGAACGCGAGGAGGAGAAGAGAGAGGGAATTGGGGAGGAGGGCGGAGGGAGCAGCGAGGAGAGCAGGGTGTTGAAAAGGAGAAGGGGGCGGGGATTGCGAGGGTTGCAAGGAGGGAGAGGAGGGAGAGGAGAGGACGGAGAGAGGGGAGGTGGGTGCTGGTCAAACCCGGCATGGGCTACGTACCTGAACCAGCCCGTACCTGAGAAGGTTGGGCCCGTGCCGTCCACCCCGCCTCGGAAGGAGGCCGGGCTGTGCTACGTGCTGTATCGGTGGGTTCTGGCGGCGATGAGGCGAATGCGCATCCCCATCATTCACCCCTACTCAAGGTTCCGCCGAGACATCAACGTGCTCGTGGGCGCCTGTATTCTCTACAACGTGGTGAGCTTGTGAGGAGGGGGAGGGAGAGGGGGGGGGGGGGGAGGGGGGGGGGGGTGTTATGCGCATCCCCATCATTCACCCCTACTCAAGGTTCCACCGCGATATCAATGTGCTTGTGGGCGCCTGCATTCTCTACAACATGGTGAGCTTGTGAGGAGGGGGAGGAGGGGCGAGGGGGGGTGGTGGAACGTGCTGTACCGGGGGGTGCTGGGGGCGATGAGAAGGATGCGAGGTGTTGAGGCGAATGCGCATCCCCCATCATTCACCCGTACCCGAGGTTCCGCCTTGGACCTGCGCTCCACTCTCTTATACCACCTACAAGCCACCCTCTCCCATGTGTCTCTCTCTCCACGCCCTCTCCCATGTGTCTCTCTCTCCACGCCCTCTCCCATGTGTCTCTCTCTCCACGCCCTCTCCCATGTGTCTCTCTCTCCACGCCCTCTCCCTTGTGTCTCTCTCTCCACGCCCTCTCCCTTGTGTCTCTCTCTCCACGCCCTCTCCCGTGTGCCCCTCTCCACCCTGTGCGCCCCTCCCGCCCCGCCCGCCAGTGGGAGATTCTCTTCCAGATCGCCTTTGGCCTGCGCTCCACAGGCGCATGGCTCATCCTCCACTCCACACTCTCATGTCAACCCACCACCCTCACCCATACCCTCTCCCACACCCTCTTCCATGTGCCCCTCCCCTCCCCTCTCACCTCCCGCCCGCCAGTGGGAGATTCTCTTCCAGATCGCCTTTGACCTGCGCTCCACGGGTGCATGGCTCATCGTCGACTCAACCCTCTCCGCCATCTACCTCATCGACGTGCTCCTGGGCTTTAAGACCGGGTGAGCCTTTCATCTCTCTCTCTCTCTCGCTTTCACTCTTTCTCGCTGGAGTGAATGGCTAGCTGACCCTCACTGCGCACCTGCCCCCTCCTCCACTCTACTCTCTCCGCCATCTACCTCATCGACGTGTTCCTGGGGTTCAAAACCGGGTACGGCTTTCACTTCCTCACTTCCGTGCGATCATTACCAGCTCACCCTCACCGCTCTCAGGCAGCGAGGTGACTTTTGAGTCGACTCAAAAGTCACCTGATTACCACCCCACCCTCACCTGATTACCACCCCACCCTCACGGCTCTCCGGCAGCGTGGCTATCCTCCACTCCACCCTCTCCGCCATCTACCTCATAGACGTCCTCCTGGGCTTCAAGACTGGGTGATTCCTTCACTTTATGGAGCAGATCGCTTGCTTACCTCCATGAATCCGCTTTTGAGTCGACTCAAAAGCACTTTATGGAGCAGATCGCTTGCTTACCTCCATGAATCCGCTTTTGAGTCGACTCAAAAGCACTTTATGGAGCAGATCGCTTGCTTACCTCCATGAATCCGCTTTTGAGTCGACTCAAAAGCACTTTATGGAGCAGATCGCTTGCTTACCTCCATGAATCCGCTTTTGAGTCGACTCAAAAGCACTTTATGGAGCAGATCGCTTGCTTACCTCCATGAATCCGCTTTTGAGTCGACTCAAAAGCACTTTGTGGAGAGGATCGCTTGCGTACCTCCATGAATCGCTCCCTGAATCCTCACTGCAGGTATGTGACGTGGGAGCGGCATGTATGCGCAGAGAATGGCATCAAGATGATTCCTGCTGCTCTTGCCTAGTCCACCAAATAAAAAACACTTCTCTCTGCTTGCTTGCTTGCCTCTGTAAATCCCTGAATTTCTAAATCCCCGCGACAGTTACGTGACAAGAGAACGGCACGTGAGCACAAGCGACGGCATCAAGATATTGCAGCCGCAGCAGATTGTCCTGGAGCAGGTGCGATGGGGGTGAGGGGGTGCGGTGAGGTGGGGTGGGGTGGGGTGGGGTGGGGTGGGGTCGGGTGGGGGAGGTGAAAGGGGTGGCGAAGTGAGGGTGTGGGAGGAGGAGTTGAGCAGCGTGACTGCACAAGGGATGGCATCAAGATCTTACAGCCGCAGCAGATTGTCCTGGACCAGGTGCGTTGTGGGGGGGGTGGGGTCTAGATGGAGGGCAAGGTGGAAGGGTTGAAATGAGTGGGTGGGAGGAAAATCCTGCAGCTGCAGCAGATTGATCTGGAGCAGGTGGGTTGTAGTGCGGGAGGGTAGATGGTGGGGGGGGGGGGGGAAGGTGGAAAGTGTGGAGTGAGTGTGTGGGAGGGGGGAGGAGGAGTTGAGCAGCGTGTGGCGGCTGCACAGAGACGATTTTTGAGTCGACTCAAAAGTTGAGCAGCGTGTGGCTGCTGCACAGAGACTGGCATCAAGTTCTTGCTTGCAGTCGCACCAGATTGAACCTAAGTTGGATTTTACGTTTACGGTTTGTTACGTTTTCGTTTATTTACGACGTTTTTTACGTTTACGAACGTGGATTCGACCCTAGGTTTACAGTCACCAGAAAACCTTTTTTGGGCTGCCCGGGGGAAAAAAAAACAGAGTACTAGGGAGACTCATTCTGTAGGCATCATGTCAACTTTGAAGAAAAGATAATACCCTAGACACAAAATCCAGTTAGAGGCAGCACCCCATCTCTACTCCTCCTCCTCCTCCTCCTCCTCCTCCTCCTCCTCCTCCTCCTCCTCCTCCTCCTCCTCCTCTCCTCCTCCTCCTCCTCCTCCTCCTCCTCCTCCTCCTCCTCCTCCTCCTCCTCCTCCTCCTCCTCCTCCTCCTCCTCCTCCTCCTCCTCCTCCTCCTCCTCCTCCTCCTCCTCCTCCTCCTCCTCCTCCTCCTCCTCCTCCTCCTCCTCCTCCTCCTCCTCCTCCTCCTCCTCCTCCTCCTCCTCCTCCTCCTCCTCCTCCTCCTCCTCCTCCCCCTCCCCCTCCTCCTCCTCCTCCTCCTCCCCCTCCCCCCCCCCCCCCCCACCTCCCCCTCCCTAACACAACACGGTCATCTCCCTCCCACCTAAATCCTTAACTCGCTATCTTGTTCGACGTCAACCTACCAGCTCGTTCGTATCCTATCGTATTCCTCTCCTACTAGTCAACGCTGAATCTTTTCACGGACTCGAAAGGCGCTCCATACCTAGTAAAATCGCTATTCTAGAAATGCACATGGCGGATTAGTAGTAGGGTAGTACCTGTACATAATCCAGGGGAAAAAAAACCCGAAACCCTGAACTTTTTTTTACGCTGCCCACCTCAGACTTACGTGTAACTTAACGTTCGTAAACGGAAACGTAAAATTTCGCGAAATTTACGTTTACGAGACCTCAAAAAACGTGAGTGCCCAACTTAGGATTCAACCACCCCACTCACATCAGCTCCGCATAGTGTCGCACTACCTGCGCACGTGGCTCCTGCTCAACCTCCTCTCATCGCTCCTCATGGAACTCACCACCCCATCTCTTCCTCTTCCCCTTCCCCTCCCCCTGCCCCTGGACCTTGCGCCTTCCCTTCCCTTTGTCCTCTCTTCCCTGCCCCCATGGCCCCTACTCCTCCCATCAGCGCCGCATAGTGTGGCACTACCTGCGCACGTGGTTCCTGCTCGACCTCCTCTCTTCGCTACCCATGGACCTCATCATCTCCCTCACCACCACCTCCTCCTCCGGCTTCTGGATCTCCACTGTGAGTGCCTGAGAGAGCTTGAGTGCTGCCAGGGGTGCTAATTGCACCTTTAATGAAGACCATTTCATCTTCCATCAACTCAACAACACCCTCACCACCACCTCCTCCTCCGGCTTCTGGATCTCCACTGTGAGTGCCTGAGAGAGCTTGAGTGCTGCCAGGGGTGCTAATTGCACCTTTAATGAAGGCCATTTCATCTTCCATCATCTCATCATCTCCCTCACCACTACCTCCTCCTCCGGCTTCTGGGTCTCCACCGTGAGTGCTCGAAGGGGGTGCCGTTGGGAGTGCTTGAGCTTTTGAGCCTTGGCGCACCACCAATCCCCCTCCACGCACCAAGGAGCACCACTTTATTCTTGCTCTGAACCTATTCTTGCTCTGAACCTATTCTTGCTCTGAACCTATTCTTGCTCTAAAAGAAACCGCTGCCTCGTAATGTCTCCCACCACAAAGCTTTTGAGGCTTGGCTCACCACCAATCCCCCTCCACGCACCCCTATCCGCTCATGCTCATCCCCATCCTCTCCTTGCTCCCCATGGATTTAATCATCTCCCTCATCACCACCCCCCTGTCTCCAGGTGTTCCAAGCGCTGAAGCTCTTCCGCATGCGCCGTCTGCTGAACGCCACGGCACGGACTAGCTCAGAACCTCATGCTGTCCCCCTTTGAGCCATGCTCCCCATGCCCCCCCCCCCTCAGGTGTTCCGAGCGCTGAAGCTCTTCCGCATGCGCCGTCTGCTGAACGCCACGGACCAGCTCAGAACGTCCTTCCTGCGCTCCACGTGGATGGAGCTCACCGTGCTCATCCTGCAGGTGGGTGGGTGGATCGGTGCAAGGCCCACGTGGGTGGGTGAATTGGTGCAAGGCCCACGTGGGTGGGTGAATTGGTGCAAGGCCCACGTGGGTGGGTGAATTGGTGCAAGGCCCACGTGGGTGGGTGAATTGGTGCAAGGCCCACGTGGGTGGGTGAATTGGTGCAAGGCCCACGTGGGTGGGTGGGTGGGTGGGAGGCTCTCTCTCCATCCTGCAGGCGACTGGGTGCGGTGCTGCCTGAGCGTGGGTGGGTCCTCTGGACCCATCCTCATTGTTCAAGTCCGTGGGTGGGTCCTCTGGACCCATCCTCATTGTTCAAGTCCGTGGGTGGGTCCTCTGGACCCATCCTCATTGTTCAAGTCCGTGGGTGGGTCCTCACACTTGAGGATCTGCTTCCTCATCCTGCATTCCGCCATCTACACCATCTCCCTGCTCTGTCTGTCCGCCCCTTCTTCTGCCGCACATCCGCATGCTCCGCCTCGTGGGCGTGTGCGTGCTTTTCAGCTGCCGCAAATCTCCCCATTGAGTCCCCCCCCTCTGTACACTCACTCAGTCCCTCCCCTTCTCACTCGCTAACTGCTCTACCCCAGATCTGCATGTTTTGCCATGTGGGCGCGTGCGCCTTTGCTCTGATTGGCCGGCTCGAGCCAGAGGGCCAATCGTGGCTCGCCAACTTCTTCTGGGACGACAACGGGGAGGCGCAGCCTCTGGAAACGGCGCCGCCACTTGTCGCCTACGTGGCGGCCACCTATTGGTCCATGGTCACATTTGCCTCGGTGAGTTTTCCTGCACATGCCTACTTGATATTGTGATACCACTTATCGCCTACGTGGCACCCACCTATTGGTCCATGGTCACCCTGCCTCGGTGAGATCTCATCCCCTCTTCGTTTGTCCTTCTCCTCTCATCCCTTTCCTCTCATCCCTTTCCTCTCATCCCTTTCCTCTCATTCTTTTCCTCTCATCCCTTTCCTCTCATCCCTTTCCTTTCATCCCTTTCCTCTCATCCCTTTCCTCTCATCCCTTTCCTCTCGTCCCTTTCCTCTCATCCCTTTCCTCTCATCCCTTTCCTCTCATCCCTTTCCTCTCATCCCTTTCCTCTCATCCTTTTCCTCTCATCCCTTTCCTCTCATCCCTTTCCTCTCGTCCCTTTCCTCTCATCCCTTTCCTCTCGTCCCTTTCCTCTCATCCCTTTCCTCTCATCCCTTTCCTTTCATCCCTTTCCTCTCGTCCCTTTCCTCTCATCCCTTTCCTCTCATCCCTTTCCTTTCATCCCTTTCCTCTCGTCCCTTTCCTCTCATCCCTTTCCTCTCATCCCTTTCCTCTCATCCCTTTCCTCTCATCCCTTTCCTCTCATCCCTTTCCTCTCATCCCTTTCCTCTCATCCCTTTCCTCTCATCCCTTTCCTCTCGTCCCTTTCCTCTCGTCCCTTTCCTCTCGTCCCTTTCCTCTCATCCCTTTCCTCTCATCCCTTTCCTCTCATCCCTTTCCTCTCATCCCTTTCCTCTCATCCCTTTCCTCTCATCCCTTTCCTCTCATCCCTTTCCTCTCATCCCTTTCCTTTCATCCTACAACCTGCTCACAGCCATCGTGCTGGGCTGTGCTGCTGTGTGACGTGACCTCTCTCATCCCACACCCTCATGCCCCACTCTCCTTACTCCATGCACTTCATTCATGTTCTTTCTATGTTCATGGTTCTCTTCGTGTGCAGGTGGGCTACGGAGACATCTACCCCCAGGACACCATCCCAGAGCGCATCTTTGGCAAGCATGCTCAGGGCCATGCTCTCTATTCCTCCCTCCCTCCATGCCTCATTGCATGCACTTCATTCATATGCTCACACTGCAGGTGGGCTACGGAGACATCTACCCGCAGGACACCATCCCAGAGCGCATCTTTGGCACCATTTACAACCTGCTCGCAGCTATCATGCTGGGTTACGCTGTCGGTCAAATTACCTCTTTAATCTATGCCAGCAGGTAATAACCTCCTTAATCTAGTCTATCGGGGTGAGTGCTTAATCTACTCCTGCCGCCATGCACCCGTCATTCTAGGCTACACTGTCTGCCACAGGCCCAGAAGCCAGTGCCGTGCCGTGCTGGTTTTTTTGTCATTCTTGTGCCAGGCCTCGTCTGACCGCTTTTGACCGCTTCTGATCTCTTTCTAACCTCTGCTTCTGCCACTATCCTTGCCTCTGCTGCTGTCTCTGCCTGTGCTTCTGCCTGTGCTTCTGCCTGTGCGTCCACCCCCACAGGGAGCGTCGGGAGAATGCAAGGCAGCGATTTGGAACACTCCACAAGTGCGTGCCTCCCCTCTCCCCTTTGCCCTCCTCATTCCATGCTCGGGAGCTATCCACATGTTACGAGTCTGTACAGTGCACACCCCCTCTTGGTTTCCTACCCATCTCCCCGTCCCCATCCCTCTCCCGTCTCCGTCCCCTCTCCCGTCACCTGTCTGCATCCCTCTCCTCCCCCGAAATCCTCCCTTCCAAACACTCTAGAACCCATATCCTCCCTCATCTCCCTCCCTCATGTCCCCCCAATGCCTGCCCGCCTGCCCGCCTGCCTGCATGTTGCCAGGTTCATCGAGAGGGAGGAGCTGCCAGAGTGGCTGGCCAACCGCCTGGTAAGCCTTTTATACGGTTCGGCTGGAATCGGTTAATCAAACCCACTTGGTACCCGCTTTGGCCTTTTAGAACTCTGAAGAATGACCCAGATGTACCCGCCCTGCTTGGTACCCGCTTAGGCCTTAAAGAACTCTGAAGAATGACTCAGATGCACCCGCTTGGTACCCGCCTAGAATTCTTTCTGCGCAGCTTCTTGTGACTGCAACTCAAGAATCACCTAATCAATAGAACTCTGAAGAATGACTCAGATGTACCCGCACTGCTTGGTACCTGCTTAGAATTCTTTCTGCTCTCAGCTTGTTCTGGCTGCGTCTACCTGCCAGTGAGTGAGATGACTCCGTTTGTGGTCCTGTTGTGTCTCCCCCCCAAATGGTGCATCTCACGCGCCAGTGGCAGACGCACATCAACTGCAACAGGGGATTGCTTCCTCATCTTTCCTCCCCCTCTCCCCCCTCTCCTTTCCCCCTCCCCCTCTTCCCCTCTCCCCTCGGCCCCAGATGGTGCATCTCACCCGCCAGTGGCAAGCGCAGCTCTCGCAGAAGTTTGACGAGTTCGAGCTCATGGAGAGCCTCACGGTGAGATGCTCATGGAGACGAGTCGTATGGTGCGAAGCTTATGAGCTGATCGTGGTGAGACGAGTCGTATGGTGCGAGGCTTATGAGCTGATCGTGGTGAGACGAGTCGTATGGTGCGAGGCTTATGAGCTGATCGTGGTGAGACGAGTCGTATGGTGCGAGGCTTATGAGCTGATCGGGGTGAGAGGAGTCGTATGGTGCGAGGCTTATGAGCTGATCGTGGTGAGACGAGTCGTATGGTGCGAGGCTTATGAGCTGATCGTGGTGAGACGAGTCGTATGGTGCGAGGCTTATGAGCTGATCGTGGTGAGACGAGTCGTATGGTGCGAGGCTTATGAGCTGATCGTGGTGAGACGAGTCGTATGGTGCGAGGCTTATGAGCTGATCGTGGTGCGACGAGTCGTATGGTGCGAGGCTTATGAGCTGATCATTGTGAGACGAGTCGTATGGTGCGAGGCTTATGAGCTGATCGTGGTGAGACGAGTCGTATGGTGCGAGGCTTATGAGCTGATCGTGGTGAGAGGAGTCGTATGGTGCGAGGCTTATGAGCTGATCGTGGTGAGACGAGTGGTATGGTGCGAGGCTAATGAGCTGATCGTGGTGAGAGGAGTCGTATGGTGCGAGGCTTATGAGCTGATCGTGGTGAGACGAGTCGTATGGTGCGAGGCTTATGAGCTGATCGTGGTGAGACGAGTCGTATGGTGCGAGGCTTATGAGCTGATCGTGGTGAGAGGAGTCGTATGGTGCGAGGCTTATGAGCTGATCGTGGTGAGACGAGTCGTATGGTGCGAGGCTTATGAGCTGATCGTGGTGAGACGAGTCGTATGGTGCGAGGCTTATGAGCTGATCGTGGTGAGAGGAGTCGTATGGTGCGAGGCTTATGAGCTGATCATGGTGAGACGAGTCGTATGGTGCGAGGCTTATGAGCTGATCGTGGTGAGACGAGTCGTATGGTGCGAGGCTTATGAGCTGATCATTGTGAGACGAGTCGTATGGTGCGAGGCTTATGAGCTGATCATGGTGAGAGGAGTCGTATGGTGCGAGGCTTATGAGCTGATCGTGGTGAGACGAGTCGTATGGTGCGAGGCTTATGAGCTGATCGTGGTGAGACGAGTCGTATGGTGCGAGGCTTATGAGCTGATCATTGTGAGACGAGTCGTATGGTGCGAGGCTTATGAGCTGATCGTGGTGAGACGAGTCGTATGGTGCGAGGCTTATGAGCTGATCATGGTGAGAGGAGTCGTATGGTGCGAGGCTTATGAGCTGATCATGGTGCGAGGCTTATGAGCTGATCGTGGTGAGACGAGTCGTATGGTGCGAGGCTTATGAGCTGATCGTGGTGAGACGAGTCGTATGGTGCGAGGCTTATGAGCTGATCGTGGTGAGACGAGTCGTATGGTGCGAGGCTTATGAGCTGATCGTGGTGAGACGAGTCGTATGGTGCGAGGCTTATGAGCTGATCGTGGTGAGACGAGTCGTATGGTGCGAGGCTTATGAGCTGATCGTGGTGAGACGAGTCGTATGGTGCGAGGCTTATGAGCTGATCGTGGTGAGACGAGTCGTATGGTGCGAGGCTTATGAGCTGATCGTGGTGAGACGAGTCGTATGGTGCGAGGCTTATGAGCTGATCGTGGTGAGACGAGTCGTATGGTGCGAGGCTTATGAGCTGATCGTGGTGAGAGGAGTCGTATTGTGCGAGGCTTATGATCTGATCATGGTGAGACGAGTCGTATGGTGCGAGGCTTATGAGCTGATCGTGGTGAGACGAGTCGTATGGTGCGAGGCTTATGAGCTGATCATTGTGAGACGAGTCGTATGGTGCGAGGCTTATGAGCTGATCGTGGTGAGACGAGTCGTATGGTGCGAGGCTTATGAGCTGATCATGGTGAGAGGAGTCGTATGGTGCGAGGCTTATGAGCTGATCGTGGTGAGACGAGTCGTATGGTGCGAGGCTTATGAGCTGATCGTGGTGAGACGAGTCGTATGGTGCGAGGCTTATGAGCTGATCATTGTGAGACGAGTCGTATGGTGCGAGGCTTATGAGCTGATCGTGGTGAGACGAGTCGTATGGTGCGAGGCTTATGAGCTGATCATGGTGAGAGGAGTCGTATGGTGCGAGGCTTATGAGCTGATCATGGTGAGAGGAGTCGTATGGTGCGAGGCTTATGAGCTGATCGTGGTGAGACGAGTCGTATGGTGCGAGGCTTATGAGCTGATCGTGGTGAGACGAGTTGTATGGTGCGAGGCTTATGAGCTGATCGTGGTGAGACGAGTCGTATGGTGCGAGGCTTATGAGCTGATCGTGGTGAGACGAGTCGTATGGTGCGAGGCTTATGAGCTGATCGTGGTGAGACGAGTCGTATGGTGCGAGGCTTATGAGCTGATCGTGGTGAGACGAGTCGTATGGTGCGAGGCTTATGAGCTGATCGTGGTGAGACGAGTCGTATGGTGCGAGGCTTATGAGCTGATCGTGGTGAGACGAGTCGTATGGTGCGAGGCTTATGAGCTGATCATGGTGAGATGAGTCGTATGGTGCGAGGCTTATGAGCTGATCATGGTGAGATGAGTCGTATGGTGCGAGGCTTATGAGCTGATCGTGGTGAGACGAGTCGTATGGTGCGAGGCTTATGAGCTGATCGTGGTGAGACGAGTCGTATGGTGCGAGGCTTATGAGCTGATCGTGGTGAGAGGAGTCGTATTGTGCGAGGCTTATGATCTGATCATGGTGAGACGAGTCGTATGGTGCGAGGCTTATGAGCTGATCGTGGTGAGACGAGTCGTATGGTGCGAGGCTTATGAGCTGATCATTGTGAGACGAGTCGTATGGTGCGAGGCTTATGAGCTGATCGTGGTGAGACGAGTCGTATGGTGCGAGGCTTATGAGCTGATCATGGTGAGAGGAGTCGTATGGTGCGAGGCTTATGAGCTGATCGTGGTGAGACGAGTCGTATGGTGCGAGGCTTATGAGCTGATCGTGGTGAGACGAGTCGTATGGTGCGAGGCTTATGAGCTGATCATTGTGAGACGAGTCGTATGGTGCGAGGCTTATGAGCTGATCGTGGTGAGACGAGTCGTATGGTGCGAGGCTTATGAGCTGATCATGGTGAGAGGAGTCGTATGGTGCGAGGCTTATGAGCTGATCGTGGTGAGACGAGTCGTATGGTGCGAGGCTTATGAGCTGATCGTGGTGAGACGAGTTGTATGGTGCGAGGCTTATGAGCTGATCGTGGTGAGACGAGTCGTATGGTGCGAGGCTTATGAGCTGATCGTGGTGAGACGAGTCGTATGGTGCGAGGCTTATGAGCTGATCGTGGTGAGACGAGTCGTATGGTGCGAGGCTTATGAGCTGATCGTGGTGAGACGAGTCGTATGGTGCGAGGCTTATGAGCTGATCGTGGTGAGACGAGTCGTATGGTGCGAGGCTTATGAGCTGATCGTGGTGAGACGAGTCGTATGGTGCGAGGCTTATGAGCTGATCGTGGTGAGAGGAGTCGTATTGTGCGAGGCTTATGATCTGATCATGGTGAGACGAGTCGTATGGTGCGAGGCTTATGAGCTGATCGTGGTGAGACGAGTCGTATGGTGCGAGGCTTATGAGCTGATCATTGTGAGACGAGTCGTATGGTGCGAGGCTTATGAGCTGATCGTGGTGAGACGAGTCGTATGGTGCGAGGCTTATGAGCTGATCATGGTGAGACGAGTCGTATGGTGCGAGGCTTATGAGCTGATCGTGGTGAGACGAGTCGTATGGTGCGAGGCTTATGAGCTGATCGTGGTGAGACGAGTCGTATGGTGCGAGGCTAATGAGCTGATCATAGTGAGACGAGTCGTATGGTGCGAGGCTTATGAGCTGATCATGGTGAGACGAGTCGTATGGTGCGAGGCTTATGAGCTGATCGTGGTGAGACGAGTCGTATGGTGCGAGGCTTATGAGCTGATCATTGTGAGACGAGTCGTATGGTGCGAGGCTTATGAGCTGATCATGGTGAGAGGAGTCGTATGGTGCGAGGCTTATGAGCTGATCGTGGTGAGACGAGTCGTATGGTGCGAGGCTTATGAGCTGATCGTGGTGAGACGAGTCGTATGGTGCGAGGCTTATGAGCTGATCGTGGTGAGACGAGTCGTATGGTGCGAGGCTTATGAGCTGATCATTGTGAGACGAGTCGTATGGTGCGAGGCTTATGAGCTGATCGTGGTGAGACGAGTCGTATGGTGCGAGGCTTATGAGCTGATCATGGTGAGACGAGTCGTATGGTGCGAGGCTTATGAGCTGATCATGGTGAGACGAGTCGTATGGTGCGAGGCTTATGAGCTGATCGTGGTGAGACGAGTCGTATGGTGCGAGGCTTATGAGCTGATCATTGTGAGACGAGTCGTATGGTGCGAGGCTTATGAGCTGATCATGGTGAGAGGAGTCGTATGGTGCGAGGCTTATGAGCTGATCGTGGTGAGACGAGTCGTATGGTGCGAGGCTTATGAGCTGATCGTGGTGAGACGAGTCGTATGGTGCGAGGCTTATGAGCTGATCGTGGTGAGACGAGTCGTATGGTGCGAGGCTTATGAGCTGATCATTGTGAGACGAGTCGTATGGTGCGAGGCTTATGAGCTGATCGTGGTGAGACGAGTCGTATGGTGCGAGGCTTATGAGCTGATCGTGGTGAGAGGAGTCGTATGGTGCGAGGCTTATGAGCTGATCGTGGTGAGACGAGTGGTATGGTGCGAGGCTAATGAGCTGATCGTGGTGAGAGGAGTCGTATGGTGCGAGGCTTATGAGCTGATCGTGGTGAGACGAGTCGTATGGTGCGAGGCTTATGAGCTGATCGTGGTGAGACGAGTCGTATGGTGCGAGGCTTATGAGCTGATCGTGGTGAGAGGAGTCGTATGGTGCGAGGCTTATGAGCTGATCGTGGTGAGACGAGTCGTATGGTGCGAGGCTTATGAGCTGATCGTGGTGAGACGAGTCGTATGGTGCGAGGCTTATGAGCTGATCGTGGTGAGAGGAGTCGTATGGTGCGAGGCTTATGAGCTGATCATGGTGAGACGAGTCGTATGGTGCGAGGCTTATGAGCTGATCGTGGTGAGACGAGTCGTATGGTGCGAGGCTTATGAGCTGATCATTGTGAGACGAGTCGTATGGTGCGAGGCTTATGAGCTGATCATGGTGAGAGGAGTCGTATGGTGCGAGGCTTATGAGCTGATCGTGGTGAGACGAGTCGTATGGTGCGAGGCTTATGAGCTGATCGTGGTGAGACGAGTCGTATGGTGCGAGGCTTATGAGCTGATCATTGTGAGACGAGTCGTATGGTGCGAGGCTTATGAGCTGATCGTGGTGAGACGAGTCGTATGGTGCGAGGCTTATGAGCTGATCATGGTGAGAGGAGTCGTATGGTGCGAGGCTTATGAGCTGATCATGGTGAGAGGAGTCGTATGGTGCGAGGCTTATGAGCTGATCGTGGTGAGACGAGTCGTATGGTGCGAGGCTTATGAGCTGATCGTGGTGAGACGAGTCGTATGGTGCGAGGCTTATGAGCTGATCGTGGTGAGACGAGTCGTATGGTGCGAGGCTTATGAGCTGATCGTGGTGAGACGAGTCGTATGGTGCGAGGCTTATGAGCTGATCGTGGTGAGAGGAGTCGTATTGTGCGAGGCTTATGATCTGATCATGGTGAGACGAGTCGTATGGTGCGAGGCTTATGAGCTGATCGTGGTGAGACGAGTCGTATGGTGCGAGGCTTATGAGCTGATCATTGTGAGACGAGTCGTATGGTGCGAGGCTTATGAGCTGATCGTGGTGAGACGAGTCGTATGGTGCGAGGCTTATGAGCTGATCATGGTGAGAGGAATCGTATGGTGCGAGGCTTATGAGCTGATCGTGGTGAGACGAGTCGTATGGTGCGAGGCTTATGAGCTGATCGTGGTGAGACGAGTCGTATGGTGCGAGGCTTATGAGCTGATCATTGTGAGACGAGTCGTATGGTGCGAGGCTTATGAGCTGATCGTGGTGAGACGAGTCGTATGGTGCGAGGCTTATGAGCTGATCATGGTGAGAGGAGTCGTATGGTGCGAGGCTTATGAGCTGATCATGGTGAGAGGAGTCGTATGGTGCGAGGCTTATGAGCTGATCGTGGTGAGACGAGTCGTATGGTGCGAGGCTTATGAGCTGATCGTGGTGAGACGAGTTGTATGGTGCGAGGCTTATGAGCTGATCATTGTGAGACGAGTCGTATGGTGCGAGGCTTATGAGCTGATCGTGGTGAGACGAGTCGTATGGTGCGAGGCTTATGAGCTGATCATGGTGAGAGGAGTCGTATGGTGCGAGGCTTATGAGCTGATCATGGTGAGAGGAGTCGTATGGTGCGAGGCTTATGAGCTGATCGTGGTGAGACGAGTCGTATGGTGCGAGGCTTATGAGCTGATCGTGGTGAGACGAGTCGTATGGTGCGAGGCTTATGAGCTGATCGTGGTGAGACGAGTCGTATGGTGCGAGGCTTATGAGCTGATCGTGGTGAGACGAGTCGTATGGTGCGAGGCTTATGAGCTGATCGTGGTGAGAGGAGTCGTATTGTGCGAGGCTTATGATCTGATCATGGTGAGACGAGTCGTATGGTGCGAGGCTTATGAGCTGATCGTGGTGAGACGAGTCGTATGGTGCGAGGCTTATGAGCTGATCATTGTGAGACGAGTCGTATGGTGCGAGGCTTATGAGCTGATCGTGGTGAGACGAGTCGTATGGTGCGAGGCTTATGAGCTGATCATGGTGAGAGGAGTCGTATGGTGCGAGGCTTATGAGCTGATCGTGGTGAGACGAGTCGTATGGTGCGAGGCTTATGAGCTGATCGTGGTGAGACGAGTCGTATGGTGCGAGGCTTATGAGCTGATCATTGTGAGACGAGTCGTATGGTGCGAGGCTTATGAGCTGATCGTGGTGAGACGAGTCGTATGGTGCGAGGCTTATGAGCTGATCATGGTGAGAGGAGTCGTATGGTGCGAGGCTTATGAGCTGATCATGGTGAGAGGAGTCGTATGGTGCGAGGCTTATGAGCTGATCGTGGTGAGACGAGTCGTATGGTGCGAGGCTTATGAGCTGATCGTGGTGAGACGAGTTGTATGGTGCGAGGCTTATGAGCTGATCGTGGTGAGACGAGTCGTATGGTGCGAGGCTTATGAGCTGATCGTGGTGAGACGAGTCGTATGGTGCGAGGCTTATGAGCTGATCGTGGTGAGACGAGTCGTATGGTGCGAGGCTTATGAGCTGATCGTGGTGAGACGAGTCGTATGGTGCGAGGCTTATGAGCTGATCGTGGTGAGACGAGTCGTATGGTGCGAGGCTTATGAGCTGATCGTGGTGAGACGAGTCGTATGGTGCGAGGCTTATGAGCTGATCATGGTGAGATGAGTCGTATGGTGCGAGGCTTATGAGCTGATCATGGTGAGATGAGTCGTATGGTGCGAGGCTTATGAGCTGATCGTGGTGAGACGAGTCGTATGGTGCGAGGCTTATGAGCTGATCGTGGTGAGACGAGTCGTATGGTGCGAGGCTTATGAGCTGATCGTGGTGAGAGGAGTCGTATTGTGCGAGGCTTATGATCTGATCATGGTGAGACGAGTCGTATGGTGCGAGGCTTATGAGCTGATCGTGGTGAGACGAGTCGTATGGTGCGAGGCTTATGAGCTGATCATTGTGAGACGAGTCGTATGGTGCGAGGCTTATGAGCTGATCGTGGTGAGACGAGTCGTATGGTGCGAGGCTTATGAGCTGATCATGGTGAGAGGAGTCGTATGGTGCGAGGCTTATGAGCTGATCGTGGTGAGACGAGTCGTATGGTGCGAGGCTTATGAGCTGATCGTGGTGAGACGAGTCGTATGGTGCGAGTCTTATGAGCTGATCGTGGTGAGACGAGTCGTATGGTGCGAGGCTTATGAGCTGATCGTGGTGAGACGAGTCGTATGGTGCGAGGCTTATGAGCTGATCGTGGTGAGACGAGTCGTATGGTGCGAGGCTTATGAGCTGATCGTGGTGAGACGAGTCGTATGGTGCGAGGCTTATGAGCTGATCGTGGTGAGACGAGTCGTATGGTGCGAGGCTTATGAGCTGATCGTGGTGAGACGAGTCGTATGGTGTGAGGCTTATGAGCTGATCGTGGTGAGAGGAGTCGTATTGTGCGAGGCTTATGATCTGATCATGGTGAGACGAGTCGTATGGTGCGAGGCTTATGAGCTGATCGTGGTGAGACGAGTCGTATGGTGCGAGGCTTATGAGCTGATCATTGTGAGACGAGTCGTATGGTGCGAGGCTTATGAGCTGATCGTGGTGAGACGAGTCGTATGGTGCGAGGCTTATGAGCTGATCATGGTGAGAGGAGTCGTATGGTGCGAGGCTTATGAGCTGATCGTGGTGAGACGATTCGTATGGTGCGAGGCTTATGAGCTGATCGTGGTGAGACGAGTCGTATGGTGCGAGGCTTATGAGCTGATCATTGTGAGACGAGTCGTATGGTGCGAGGCTTATGAGCTGATCGTGGTGAGACGAGTCGTATGGTGCGAGGCTTATGAGCTGATCATGGTGAGAGGAGTCGTATGGTGCGAGGCTTATGAGCTGATCATGGTGAGAGGAGTCGTATGGTGCGAGGCTTATGAGCTGATCGTGGTGAGACGAGTCGTATGGTGCGAGGCTTATGAGCTGATCGTGGTGAGACGAGTTGTATGGTGCGAGGCTTATGAGCTGATCGTGGTGAGACGAGTCGTATGGTGCGAGGCTTATGAGCTGATCGTGGTGAGACGAGTCGTATGGTGCGAGGCTTATGAGCTGATCGTGGTGAGACGAGTCGTATGGTGCGAGGCTTATGAGCTGATCGTGGTGAGACGAGTCGTATGGTGCGAGGCTTATGAGCTGATCGTGGTGAGACGAGTCGTATGGTGCGAGGCTTATGAGCTGATCGTGGTGAGACGAGTCGTATGGTGCGAGGCTTATGAGCTGATCGTGGTGAGACGAGTCGTATGGTGCGAGGCTTATGAGCTGATCGTGGTGAGACGAGTCGTATGGTGCGAGGCTTATGAGCTGATCGTGGTGAGACGAGTCGTATGGTGCGAGGCTTATGAGCTGATCATGGTGAGATGAGTCGTATGGTGCGAGGCTTATGAGCTGATCATGGTGAGATGAGTCGTATGGTGCGAGGCTTATGAGCTGATCGTGGTGAGACGAGTCCTATGGTGCGAGGCTTATGAGCTGATCGTGGTGAGACGAGTCGTATGGTGCGAGGCTCATGAGCTGATCATGGTGAGACGAGTCGTATGGTGCGAGGCTTATGAGCTGATCGTGGTGAGAGGAGTCGTATGGTGCGAGGCTTATGAGCTGATCATTGTGAGATGAGTCGTATGGTGCGAGGCTTATGAGCTAATCGTGGTGAGACGAGTCGTATGGTGCGAGGCTTATGAGCTGATCGTGGTGAGACGAGTCGTATGGTGCGAGGCTTATGAGCTGATCGTGGTGAGAGGAGTCGTATTGTGCGAGGCTTATGATCTGATCATGGTGAGACGAGTCGTATGGTGCGAGGCTTATGAGCTGATCGTGGTGAGACGAGTCGTATGGTGCGAGGCTTATGAGCTGATCATTGTGAGACGAGTCGTATGGTGCGAGGCTTATGAGCTGATCGTGGTGAGACGAGTCGTATGGTGCGAGGCTTATGAGCTGATCATGGTGAGAGGAGTCGTATGGTGCGAGGCTTATGAGCTGATCATGGTGAGAGGAGTCGTATGGTGCGAGGCTTATGAGCTGATCGTGGTGAGACGAGTCGTATGGTGCGAGGCTTATGAGCTGATCGTGGTGAGACGAGTTGTATGGTGCGAGGCTTATGAGCTGATCGTGGTGAGACGAGTCGTATGGTGCGAGGCTTATGAGCTGATCGTGGTGAGACGAGTCGTATGGTGCGAGGCTTATGAGCTGATCGTGGTGAGACGAGTCGTATGGTGCGAGGCTTATGAGCTGATCGTGGTGAGACGAGTCGTATGGTGCGAGGCTTATGAGCTGATCGTGGTGAGACGAGTCGTATGGTGCGAGGCTTATGAGCTGATCGTGGTGAGACGAGTCGTATGGTGCGAGGCTTATGAGCTGATCATGGTGAGATGAGTCGTATGGTGCGAGGCTTATGAGCTGATCATGGTGAGATGAGTCGTATGGTGCGAGGCTTATGAGCTAATCGTGGTGAGACGAGTCGTATGGTGCGAGGCTTATGAGCTGATCGTGGTGAGACGAGTCGTATGGTGCGAGGCTTATGAGCTGATCGTGGTGAGAGGAGTCGTATTGTGCGAGGCTTATGATCTGATCATGGTGAGACGAGTCGTATGGTGCGAGGCTTATGAGCTGATCGTGGTGAGACGAGTCGTATGGTGCGAGGCTTATGAGCTGATCATTGTGAGACGAGTCGTATGGTGCGAGGCTTATGAGCTGATCGTGGTGAGACGAGTCGTATGGTGCGAGGCTTATGAGCTGATCGTGGTGAGACGAGTCGTATGGTGCGAGGCTTATGAGCTGATCATGGTGAGATGAGTCGTATGGTGCGAGGCTTATGAGCTGATCATGGTGAGATGAGTCGTATGGTGCGAGGCTTATGAGCTAATCGTGGTGAGACGAGTCGTATGGTGCGAGGCTTATGAGCTGATCGTGGTGAGACGAGTCGTATGGTGCGAGGCTTATGAGCTGATCGTGGTGAGAGGAGTCGTATTGTGCGAGGCTTATGATCTGATCATGGTGAGACGAGTCGTATGGTGCGAGGCTTATGAGCTGATCGTGGTGAGACGAGTCGTATGGTGCGAGGCTTATGAGCTGATCATTGTGAGACGAGTCGTATGGTGCGAGGCTTATGAGCTGATCGTGGTGAGACGAGTCGTATTGTGCGAGGCTTATGATCTGATCATGGTGAGACGAGTCGTATGGTGCGAGGCTTATGAGCTGATCGTGGTGAGACGAGTCGTATGGTGCGAGGCTTATGAGCTGATCATTGTGAGACGAGTCGTATGGTGCGAGGCTTATGAGCTGATCGTGGTGAGACGAGTCGTATGGTGCGAGGCTTATGAGCTGATCGTGGTGAGACGAGTCGTATGGTGCGAGGCTTATGAGCTGATCATGGTGAGAGGAGTCGTATGGTGCGAGGCTTATGAGCTGATCATGGTGAGAGGAGTCGTATGGTGCGAGGCTTATGAGCTGATTGTGGTGAGACGAGTCGTATGGTGCGAGGCTTATGAGCTGATTGTGGTGAGACGAGTTGTATGGTGCGAGGCTTATGAGCTGATCGTGGTGAGACGAGTCGTATGGTGCGAGGCTTATGAGCTGATCGTGGTGAGACGAGTCGTATGGTGCGAGGCTTATGAGCTGATCGTGGTGAGACGAGTCGTATGGTGCGAGGCTTATGAGCTGATCGTGGTGAGACGAGTCGTATGGTGCGAGGCTTATGAGCTGATCGTGGTGAGACGAGTCGTATGGTGCGAGGCTTATGAGCTGATCGTGGTGAGACGAGTCGTATGGTGCGAGGCTTATGAGCTGATCATGGTGAGATGAGTCGTATGGTGCGAGGCTTATGAGCTGATCATGGTGAGATGAGTCGTATGGTGCGAGGCTTATGAGCTGATCGTGGTGAGACGAGTCCTATGGTGCGAGGCTTATGAGCTGATCGTGGTGAGACGAGTCGTATGGTGCGAGGCTCATGAGCTGATCATGGTGAGACGAGTCGTATGGTGCGAGGCTTATGAGCTGATCGTGGTGAGAGGAGTCGTATGGTGCGAGGCTTATGAGCTGATCATTGTGAGACGAGTCGTATGGTGTGAGGCTTATGAGCTGATCATGGTGAGATGAGTCGTATGGTGCGAGGCTTATGAGCTGATCGTGGTGAGACGAGTCGTATGGTGCGAAGCTTATGAGCTGATCGTGGTGAGATGAGTCGTATGGTGCGAGGCTTATGAGCTGATCATGGTGAGACGAGTCGTATGGTGCGAGGCTTATGAGCTGATCGTGGTGAGACGAGTCGTATGGTGCGAGGCTTATGAGCTGATCATTGTGAGACGAGTCGTATGGTGCGAGGCTTATGAGCTGATCGTGGTGAGACGAGTCGTATGGTGCGAGGCTTATGAGCTGATCGTGGTGAGAGGAGTCTTATGGTGCGAGGCTTATGAGCTGATCGTGGTGAGACGAGTCGTATGGTGCGAGGCTAATGAGCTGATCGTGGTGAGAGGAGTCGTATGGTGCGAGGCTTATGAGCTGATCGTGGTGAGACGAGTCGTATGGTGCGAGGCTTATGAGCTGATCATGGTGAGACGAGTCGTATGGTGCGAGGCTAATGAGCTGATCATGGTGAGACGAGTCGTATGGTGCGAGGCTTATGAGCTGATCGTGATGAGACGAGTCGTATGGTGCGAGGCTTATGAGCTGATCGTGGTGAGAGGAGTCGTATGGTGCGAGGCTTATGAGCTGATCGTGGTGAGACGAGTCGTATGGTGCGAGGCTTATGAGCTGATCGTGGTGAGAGGAGTCGTATGGTGCGAGGCTTATGAGCTGATCATGGTGAGACGAGTCGTATGGTGCGAGGCTAATGAGCTGATCATGGTGAGACGAGTCGTATGGTGCGAGGCTTATGAGCTGATCGTGGTGAGACGAGTCGTATGGTGCGAGGCTTATGAGCTGATCGTGGTGAGAGGAGTCGTATGGTGCGAGGCTTATGAGCTGATCGTGGTGAGACGAGTCGTATGGTGCGAGGCTTATGAGCTGATCGTGGTGAGACGAGTGGTATGGTGCGAGGCTAATGAGCTGATCGTGGTGAGATGAGTCGTATGGTGCGAGGCTTATGAGCTGATCGTGGTGAGACGAGTCGTATGATGCGAGGCTTATGAGCTGATCGTGGTGAGACGAGTTGTATGGTGCGTGGCTTATGAGCTGATCGTGGTGAGACGAGTCGTATGGTTCGTGGCTTATGAGCTGATCATGGTGAGTGGTTTCATGGTGTGAGCCTCATGATTTGAAACTCGTGTTGTAGCCTCCCAAGTGCCGCCAGTGGCTCATAGTATGAGGGCTCATTGTGTGAGGGCTCATAGTGTGAGGGCTCATTGTGTGAGGGCTCATAGTGTGAGGGCTCATTGTGTGAGGGCTTGTAGCATGAGGGGTTAAGGAGACGCTTACGGTGAGAAGAATATGGGGCGCGATTCTGTAGTGTGTGACAGCTCTTGGAGACCCCTTGGCAGTTAGAGTCATTTGAGAGGTCAAGAGATTCGTGTTTTCTGCTGCTTTGTGCGTGCCCGAATCCGACGGCCGTTGTTTATGCTGGCCCAAATCCAACGGTGGTCTGTGTGGTGGCTGTGTGTGGCAGGAGGACCTTCGGGGGGACCTCTTTGTGCACTGGTGGCAGCGCAGCATTGCCGTGAGGTGAGTGGGGCAATGCGGTGCAGTGCGGTGAGGGCTATTGCAGTGCGGTGAGGGCTATTGCAGTGTTGTTGAGGTGCATAGACAATACACCTCTTTGAGGTCCCCTACTCTCCTCCCCATATTCCCAGTCCCATCTTCCCGCACAGCCACGCGTTTATACCTGGGCGGCTGGGAGCGCTGGTGTTAAGTCTTGTTCCTTTTGAGAATTGTCAGAAGACCTCAGAATAAATTCGCCTTCCCTGTGCCTCCTCAATTCCGTACTGTGTCCCATCCTCCTCCCATGCCCCCAGCCCCATTCTGCCACAGAACAAACCTGCCAGCCATGCGCCTATAGCGAAGCTGCTGGGGGCGCTGGTGTTTAGAACAAACTCCCATACCCATTCCCTGCTGTGCCCTCTCCCCTTGCTCGGCCAGCCCTGTTCTCCCACTCAGCCACGCGTTTATAGCAAAGCTGCTGGGAGCGCTGGTGTTGAGGAGAGTGGCAGCAGGGGAATTCATCTGTGCGGAGCATACATGTGCAAAGCAACGAGCCGAGTTTCACTCGGCTCGTCCCTGGGCACACTTGTATGAGTAATGTCACGAGCCGAGTTTAGCTCGTCCGAGTTTTTTCAGGGGAAACTCAAGCTCGTGACTCGTCTCTTGTCACGAGCTTTTAAAAGGCTCGTCCGAGCTTCGCTCGGCGCGTTGCCCTATACCAGCATGTACATGCCCATTTTTGTGAACCTGCTGCCTAATAAGATACCCTGCAAACATCAAATCAATATACCAATATCCAGACCAGGTCAATCGCCCTGGAGAGCATCAATTCTGGGTGGGGGATCAATTCTGAGCGTCAATTCTGGGTGGGGGATCGCAACACCAGCCCACGCAACGAGTGCTCGGCGAGTTTTAAAAACTAAACTCGCCTCGGCTCGGACGAGTGGTTTTCACGGAAAATCAAACTCGTCACTCACTCGCCCTCGAACGTGTACGAGCCTCGTACGAGCCGAGGCGAAAAGCTTGCCTTGTTGCACATGTATAGTGCGGAGGGCGAGGTGAGCCGCCACCTCTACATCCCTCTCGTTTTGAGGCGCCTCAAAACTGAGCCGCCACCTCTACATGCCTCTCTCCCTCCCCCCCCTCCTTCCCCACCTCTACATCCCTCTCTCCCTCCCCCCCCTCCTTCCCCACCTCTACATCCCTCTCTCCCTCCCCCCCCTCCTTCCCCACCTCCCATTCCCCCAGCCCCATCCTCCCGCACGGCCGTGGCTTTATAGCGAAGCTGCTGGGGGCGCTGGTGTTGAGGCGAGTGGCGGCAGGGGAATTCATCTGTGCTGAAGGGGAGGTGAGCCGGCTCCTCTACATCCCTCTCTCCCTCCCCCCCTCCCTCCCTCCCTCCTTGCTCCCCCTTCCATTTCCCCAGCCCCATCCTCCCACACAGCCATGCGTTTATTGCAAAACTTTTGGATGCTTTGGTCCTGAGGAGAGTAGCAGCGGGGGAATTCATCTGTGCTGAAGGGGAGGTGAGCCGGCACCTCTACATCCTGCGCGCCGGCACTGCTGATGCCACGTGGATTAAGACTCCCGAGGACGAGGAGGGGGATGGAATGGGGGTGATTAAGGAGGAGGGGGATGGAATGGGGGTGATTAAGGAGGAGGGGGAGGAGGGTGGAGTGGGGGAGATTATGGAGGAGGGAGAAGAGGAGGGGAAAGAGGGGACGGGGGAGGTTGGGGAGAGGTGGGGGGATGAGGAGGAGGACGGGGGAGAGGGTGGTGGTGGTGGGTGGAGAGGGGGAGGAGGAGGAGGAGGAGGAGGAGGAGGAGGAGGAGGAGGAGGAGGAGGAGGAGGAGGAGGAGGAGGAGGAGGAGGAGGAGGAGGAGGAGGAGGAGGAGGAGGAGGAGGAGGAGGAGGAGGAGGAGGAGGAGGAGGAGGAGGAGGAGGAGGAGGAGGAGGAGGAGGAGGAGGAGGAGGAGGAGGAGGAGGAGGAGGAGGAGGAAGTAGAGGAGGGGGGGAAAGGAGTGGGGAGGGAGGTGTTGTGAATGAAGAGGAAAACCTCGAGTCAGATTCGGGAGGAGAAGAGGTACTGACCAGCACTCGCTTTCTGCCTATTAGGAATAAAATAGGTTTGCTTCCCTCCGTTTGTAAAGCCTAGACAAAGTGCACCAAACACACTTCTCTGCCACGCCAAAATGATCCCTCCCTCCCTCCCTCCCTCCCTCCCCTCCCTCCCTCCCTCCCTCCCTCCCTCCCTCCCTCCCTCCCTCCCTCCCTCCCCTCCCTCCCTCCCTCCCTCCCTCCCTCCCTCCCTCCCTCCCTCCCTCCCTCCCTCCCTCCCTCCCTCCCTCCCTCCCTCCCTCCCTCCCTCCTCTCCTCCCTTGCCCTGCCAGCCCCTCTGCCTCTCTCCTCCGCTCCACCCCCCCTCCTTACCCCTTTCAGAACAACTCTACCCTCCCACCCGCCCTCTCGCCCCTTGTCCCAGCAGCACCCCTTCGTCCCGGGGGACCGCTCGGCCTCTCTCCTGCGCTCCGACTCACAGCGCCGCCACCATTGTCCCTCTCCTCCGTTCCACTCCCCCTTCTTTTCAGCACACTTCTTCCTTCCCTCCCTCCCTCACTCCCTCTTCCGCCCCCCCTCGCCCCAGCAGCACCCCTTTGTCCCGTTGAACCGCTCTGCGTCTCTCCTCTGCTCCACTCCCCCTTCTTTTCAGCACACTTCTTCCCCACTTTCCCTCCCACCCGCCCTCTCGCCCCTCGTCCCAGCAGCACCCCTTTGTCCCGGTGAACCGCTCGGCCTCTCTCCTGCGCTCCGACTCACAGCGCCGGCTGCGCCGCTTCCTCTCCCGCTCCCGCCAACTGTCCCTCCGTTTGACCCCCGGGCAAGCCCTCAACACACCCGGCGCTTTCCCGGGTAACCCGGCAACCGCTCCCGGCTCCCACGGGAATCCCCTAGCACTGGCAGCAGCGGCCGCGATGGCAGCAGGAGTGCCAGAACCTCCCAAGAATCCTCTAGAAGTAGCGTTGGAGCAAGGGGGAGGGAACATGGAGATGGAGCATCGGGCGGTGGGGACCGGGTTTGTGATGGGCATGGAAGGGTTGCTGGAGGCGTTTGAAACGCGCATGGACGAGGAGGAATGGCCGAAACAGCGGGTTGCTCTTATCTGTGTTGAGGCCACGTTTCAGGTGGGGAAAAGGGGGAACGGGGGGAGGAGGGAAAACATTGGGGGGGAAGAGAAGAGGTGGGGGGAAGGAGAGGAGGTGGGGAAGGGTTTGGGATGGATATGGAAGGGCTTTTAGAGGCGTTTGACATGCGGATGGGGGGGGGGGGGGGAAGAGGAATGGCCGAAACACTGATGGGGGGAGGAATGGCCGAAACAGAGGGTCGCTCTGATCTGTGTTGAGGCCACAACTCATCTCTCTCCCCTTCTCCCTCCCTTCCCCCCTCCCTGGCCATGACCAAGTGTGAGCTCCTCCTGGACGACCTATTCGACACGCTAGAGAGCTTCCCCCAGCTGTTGACCCTCAACTCAGATACACCCAATGTTTCCCCTCCCACATACTCCAGGCCAAGACAGAGTGCGAGTTGCTGCTTCTCCTCCTGGACGACCTATTCGACACGCTAGAGAGCTTTTCCCAGCTGTTGCACTTTGTGAGTCAACTCACATGTCCCCCCTTTCGCTGCCGCTTCCCATGTCCCTCCCCCTCCCAGGCCAAGACAGAGTGCGAGTTGCTGCTTCTCCTCCTGGATGACCTATTCGACACGCTAGAGAGCTACCCCCAGCTGCTGCACGACATGCGCTTTGCACTGCGCCTGCCCATGGGCGTGCACGAGCAGCAGCAGAACCGCCTGGCGCGCAGCCGTGGCGTCGCTGCTTCCGCCGTGCGCGAGGCTTTGGAAAGCCCGTAGGGTAGTCTTTTGAGGCGCCTCAAGAATGCACGAGCAGCAGCAGCAAGAGCAGCAGCAGCAGCAGCAGCAACATAACCGCCTGTCCCGCAGCCATGTTTTTCCCACTTCCTCTGTGTGCGAGGCCTAGGCAAGCCAATAGGGAGGTTCGGTTTCCGGGCCTAACTGTGATGGTGAGGCTCGGATTCTGGGCCTACCCATGGGCTGAGGTCCGGACCAGATACCAGACCTACCCATGCGCTGCCCACAATGCTGTCTAGCAGCATCCACGTGTTTGTTCCATTCCGTTCACTCCTCAGTGAGGAGAGAGAAGTTCCCTGGCTAGCTAGCAAGCCACATCCCGAACGATTCACTAACCCAGCGGCGCATGCTGTGCTGTGCCGCTTCCTCGAGTCACAGAATTCTCAAAAGCGTGTTGTGCCGCTTCCTCGAGTCACACGAGCAAACCAGACAGGGGATCTGTTGGGCAAAATGGTTTGTGTTAAATATACAAACATAAGATGATACTAATGCTGTTAGGTTTTACTGTAGTGTTCCTTTATAAGACTCTCAGCCCTCCAATAATTGTACAATTATTGGAGGGTCAGAATTATTGGAGTCTAGAATTATTGGAGGGTAAGAATTATTGGCGGGTAGAATTATTGGTGTGGCGTTGTTGGTGTGGATAGAACCATCCTGAAGGGGTTAGCTGGTCAAGATAAATACCCTGCTCTGTCATTTCATAATCATCCTATTGTTCTGAATCATTTCAGTTGCAAGTTCCTCTTACTACTTATTCTACAATCAAGCTTCCGCAATGCCGGCACTATGCCTTTCTAGCATGGTATCAGAGCTACTCTAGGGGGCATGCTGCCGAAATTTGGTTAGAACCTTGTCAGCATTCACATTGGACAGGGACATTAGCAAACTCGCACAGCAAGTGACAACATTTGGATTGGAGGCATGGCGCGATTCGACGATGAAGTCGATGCTGGATACGAGGCGTTTGAAGAAGCCATCATGGCTCAACATGAGCACCTGGAGAACATGATTGCAAGGGCACCACCAACACTCCAAGCGTCATTAAGAGCAAAGTTCAACATGCCAGCCCAAGTTCGAGATTTCAGCAACCCATCCATCCGTGAACAGTCACATGCAAGCACTCCGCGTACTAACCAAACCCGTACTTCAAATATGGATGCAGGGATTGAAGGTGAAGGAGAGGGAAGCTTACCCCAAGGAGGAGAGTCATCCCAAGGGAGGGATGCATCCTTCCAAGGAGAGGGGAGCTCCCACCCCGAACCTCAATCAACCATGCAAAGGGCAGCAACGGGGAGGGACGATGCGTACGGAAGTGGAACAAATGTGATGGAGCATGGTGATGGGATCGGCGTGGGAAGAAACATGAGAGGGCAGATTGGGGAAGGGAGTGGTCGAAGCAGTCATGTGGGCATGGAAGGTGTGGGATTCGAATCCTACACTATTGGTGCTCCCCCACTGCGACGTCTCGCTACTAACTCCCATCCCATTGGAGTTCCCATGATGGGCAGATCTCACCTCTTTGGCAACAACGTCGTACCTCCTCGTGCGCCACAGTTTCAAATGGAAGCTGCACCTGCAGGAAGCATGGGGCGCATGGGGCACGGAATGCAGTCAAGTGGTGTTATGCGACGTGATCAAGTGGAAGTGGTGGAACGTGAAGGCACACAACGCACGGTACAACTACCTCGACCATCTAACGTGCCTACGCTCTTCGACCCGTCTCCACGCGAGTACACGGAAGAAGACAAGGACAGGTTGTCACGCAAAATGGTGGGAGCAGCAGTGGACAAAGCGTTCACAACAACTCCATTCGACGGCACTAACTTTCGAGAGTGGGCTCTTCGGTTTCGCATGAACGCGCGCGTGACAAACCTGTGGGAGTTCTTCGTGACGCTACAATACCCGGTTACAATGGTGCAAGGAGAAATGCGAGATGCAATGGAACGGCTGGAAGTTCTACAAGCAGATTACTCACAACGTGCTACGCTGGCTTTTTGGGTGCTTCTGCATAGCGTAAGCGCAACGATTCAGCTGCAACTTGACGTGTTCCAAGAGTCATACAGTCCGGCATTCGAAGCATGGGAGTACCTGATGGAGACTTACCAGGCGAAGGATTCGGTGGCAAAGGCGTCTCTCCAGAGGCAATTGGACAACCTGAAGATGGGGAGCCAAGAAAGAGTGGAGGACTACATCAACCGAGCAACTGCAATTCGGGATAAGCTGGCAATGGCGGGAAAAATGGTGGATGAAGATTCATTCACCTTAAATTTGATCACCGGGCTGCCACCGCATTGGGAGGAGTTGAGGCATTCGGCAATGCTACACGACATCTCGGACAGCTACGCACTGCAACGAATGATGATTCAGGAACAACGCTACCAAGACCTCATTAGCAAGACCAACCGTGACAAGCGTCCTCCCCGCATGGCTGGCCAAGCACGTGGAGATAATTCACCAGCGAAAGAGAGAACCGAGACAAAGGACAACCGGAATGCGGCAAGGTCAGCGGGAGGACGGTCTAACCTTGTGTGTTGGTACTGCAAGGAATCTGGCCACCCGTTCTACAAGTGTCCGAAGGCGCCTCCGGGTTGGTCACCACCAGGTTGGGAACCACAAAACAGAGGGAGAACCAACCAGCGCACCTGGAGTAGCCGCTCGTCCTCGCCGCGAAGGAGTGAAAGTCCGAAACGTGACAACCAAGCGACAAAAAAGCAAGGGGCAGGCGGGGGAGACAACAAACGAACCATGACATGCATTGCAACGGTTCGATCGTCGCAAGCAACATCACCGTCAACCGGAGGGTCGATGTGGCTGCTGGACAGCGGATGCAGCCAACACATGACTTCGGAAAAGGAGTGGTTTGAGGGTCTAGACGAGCTGAACGAACCCGTTTATGTGGAGCTTGCTGACGGAAGCCACCTGTTGAGCTCGATGGCGGGAACAATCCGAGCAACGGCACCCAATGGAACAACGGTGCGCTACACAGACGTACTCTACGTACCCGGCTTGAAGTCCAACCTGCTCTCCTATTGCCAGCTTCACAAGAAGGGAGCTCGCATTCACACACGTGAGGATGGGCGCACGGATATCACAATGGCGGATGGGGATGAGCATGTACTCATTGGAGTTGGAATGGTCATGCATGGGGTGCTAATGGTGCAATATGAGCCTGCACTTGCATCCGCCCATGCATCTGGTCATGATCATCCGAATGAAGCATTGAATGAGACTGACCTTGGAGGGCCGAATGTGCAATCTTCTCATGCATCCATCACATATCGCATGGCCCACAAGCGCTTGGGTCACCCATCATACACATCCATGGATGCAACATTTCGAAATGGTGATGTTGAAGGACTCACCATATCTGACAAGACTAACCCTCTCAAACCCCCATGTGATTCATGTCTTCGAGGGAAGATGAGCAAGAACCCCTTTCCCACAGGAAGCACCAATGCCACAACTCGACCTTTGGAGCTCGTGCACAGCGACATCATGGACCTGGGTGATGCTCACCCTTCCCTTCGCTATGTGCTGACGCTCAAGGACGACTACACCAACTACCTGTGGGTGGCGCCGTTGGCTCGCCGGTCCGACATGGCTGCAGTTTTCTCGGCTTGGCACCGTGAGATGAAGACCAAGCTGCCCAAGATGCCGCTGGCTGCCTTGCGCACGGACAACGGGGGGGAGTATACATCAAACGCATTCACGGATTACCTGAGTTCTCACGGTATCAATCACCAAACGTCTTTACCACATACGCCACAGCAGAATGGAGTCGCCGAACGGGTTAACCGCACACTCATGGACCGAGTGCGAGCAATGACTACCGGGGCCAGCCTTTCCTCCAAGTTCTGGCCTTATGCACTGGAATATGCGGCATGGTTACACAACCGCATCAGCTGCAGCAGCAACCCATCCGCACACTCACCATACTTCATGATGATGGGAAAGGCAGCAGATGTCTCCATGGCCAGAACCTTCGGATGCCTCTGCTACTATCTCCCTCCCCAAGGCAGCTTTGGGAAATTTGAACAACGAGGACGGGCAGGCATGTTTCTCGGCCTCTCTAACTCACGAAAAGCATGGATCGTACGGGACTTGGCAAGCGACGTTGACACGGACACACACTCAGCTCGCTTCTTTGACGACCTCATGCTCCCGGACGCCGAGTCTCTGCTCGAACGCCAACGGTACATCGATGAAGTCTCACCTCATATCTCGGAATGGACCTCAGGGGGAGAGGACGTTGGGTCAGCATTCCACTCTTTTCCCGCATCTCTCACTTCCTCCACGTCATCTTCTGACGTCTCTACAGCAGAACAACATGGACCTACGACCAATGACGCAGCTCAAGAAGACCCACCAGCAGCTACTGAAGCTGATATAGGAGAAGAGACAGGGGAAAGTGACTTACCAGCGGCAGGCATCTCTGTTTGTGAAGGTGCTGACAACAACGAACGAGAAAATGACGCAGGTCATCTATACAACTATGCCTACCCACCCGATGGGATCCCGCTGGCTGCTCCTGACGTGCCACCAAGGCGGGTTCACTTCAACCCAACAGTGACAGTACTTGGAGGAGAAGGACAAGGGATGGACAAAATGACAGGACTGGACGTACTGTTTGGGAGGCGGCAGGCAGGACAAACATTCACACGATTTCCCAACGTGCAGCAGCAGAACGTACTGGGATGTGCAGCAACCGACGTCCCCATGGTGGAGCTGACATACAAAGAACCAAAAACACTTCACGAAATGACCAAGGACCCGTACGCACCTCTTTGGCAAGCCGCTGTGGATGCAGAATTGGCCAAGTTCGATGACCTGGATGCATACGAAGTGGTGGACAGAGCGGACGTACCAAAAGGAACACCAGTGCTGTCGGAAGGAGTCGTTCTACGGGTGAAACGAGATGAGCACGGGCAGCCAAACCGGTTCAAAGCGCGCTGGGTGGTCAAGGGATGCGGCCAAACTTGGGGGACATATGATGGGACGTATGCACCGGTCAGCCAAGGACCTACCTCTCACGTGTTCGTTGCTGGTGCATCTGCTACAAAGCGGAAAGTGGTGCAATTGGACATCTCCAATGCATTCCTCTACGCTCCGATTGACCGGGACATATACGTGAGACCACCAAAACCAAGGCGGGACGGAGACAAAGTCTGGAAACTCAAAAGAAGTGTATATGGGCTGAAACAAGCACCACGCTTGTGGCATCAGCACTTACGGGGTGTCTTGTTGGCGCTGGACATGGTGCAATCCGAATCAGACCCCTCTCTGTTTATCTGGAAAAGAGACGGACAGGACCCAGTGTGGCTACTCACTTACGTTGACGACATCCTCATCCAGTCTCATGACGCAGAAGGCATTGACGCTGTGATTCAACACTTGAAGCAGCACTTTACCTTAACGGTCAGCAAGACCATGACACAGTTTTTGGGGCTCAACGTCGCCGCGGACAATGACTCGATCGCACTCGGACTCACAAAGTACATCTCACAGGCTTTGGCGACATTCGAGATGGAGGGCAGCCGTTCCGGAGTTCGGACACCGATCGCCAAGGAACCTGGACCACAAGGAGAACCACCGGACGAGATTGATGGTCAATTGGTGCTGAAACAAGTTGGGACATTGCTGTACATCTCAACAGCAGGGCGGCCGGACATAACATATGCGGCGCATGTGCTGGCCAGGCAAGCAAGCAAACCAACAGCAGCGACAGTGCTTGGAATCCACCGGGTGTTCAACTACTTACAGAACACTGCAAACATGGGGCTGGTGTATGGAGGAGGAGACTTGGTGCTCCGTGGATATACGGACTCGGATTATGCGAACGAAGAGGGGCGTCACTCAGTTGGAGGCTACGTGTTTACCTTGGGAGGAGCTGCTGTCAGCTGGAGGACCAAACGACAAACGGTCATTGCGACATCAACAGCTGAAGCAGAATACATTGCACTGTTTGAAGGAGCAAGGGAAGCCACATACCTTCGCCGCTTGTGTGAAGACCTCGGTTTTCAACAGCAAGAACCTACCGTCATCTTTGTGGATAACCAAAGCGCCATTGCGCTTGCAACCGGGGAGCAGATGAGTCAACGTATCAAGCACATGGACGTACGTTACCATTGGACGAGGAAGGCCGTTCGTGATGGCGTTGTGCGGCCGGAGTACTGCCCAACAACTCAGCAAGCTGCGGATTATCTTACCAAGCCCCTCATAGCGAAACAACATCTCACCTGCAGCCACCTGTGCGGTCTCCAACCTATTTCACATGTAGCACCATCTGCACCCAGTACTCACATTGAAGCTGCTGGAGCTGCACTCTCAAGTCCGGGCTTCTCAAGGGGAGCTGAACAACACGGCATCACGTAACTCCACACATCTCACTCATGTGTTTCGTGATATGTGCGTGCTCACGCATGTGCGTGCCTCCAAACACACGAGTGAGAGGGGGAGTGGGGTGTGGAGTATCTTGGGGTGCAACAAATCAGGATTTCATCTCACAACCATCTTTTCATTTTCGTCATCACAAGAGTCAGCATATCATCATGAGAAGACCTACTGCAATCAGTAACAACAGCAGCCATCAGATATTCTGCTGGACAGTCGCTGCTGCTGGTTGGTCACAACCACTCGCCATCTACAGCGGCCGTTCCTGAAGACTTTATATGCCTGCAGGTTTCAGGGGGAGACGAAACATCAGCATGAGTCAACATGAGGCAAGTAGACAGAGGGAATCACAAGAGGTAGCTGACGTCTACTAAATACAAAAGTATGACTCCAATGAGAGGAGAAGAAGGGGGAGACAACTGGAGACAGGCACTGCTGGTGCTGCTCACCAAAGTGACGCAGGTGCTGCTGATACTGCTGCCACCCAGTGCTGGAGCTGCACCAGTGCAAGCGGCCAGCGCATCAGGGAAAGCTGCTGCAACCCGGTGCTGCAGGGCTCCAGGTGCTGCAGGGCGTCAGGGGGAGCTGCTGCAAGCGACCAGGTGATGCTGCTGCCACCAGTCACGGGGTGCCGATGGCAGACATTTGCAGACGCACGCGCCAGGTGCAGAAGCAGCCGCCAGGAGCACAAGCAGCTGCCAGGAGCAGAAGCAGCTGCCAGGAGCAGATGCAGCCGCCAGGAGCAGAAGCAGCCGCCAGGAGCAGATGCAGCCGCCAGGTGCTTGCGTACCAGTTGCAGCTGCCTCCGGGGTTCACCTAGTATAGGGGGAGCAGCACAGGGTCATGAGGAGCAGCACAGGGTCATGGGAAGTAGCACAGAGTAACAGAGTAACATGGGTGAAACTGACAAGAGTCAACTAAGCATTCTCACCTCGGTCGAAAGGAGAAAGTCGTGCGCAGCCAGGAGTAGCAGTAGTGAGCCGCCAGAAGTAGCAGCCGTGCAGCCGCCAGGAGCAGCAGCCATGCGCTACCAGGAGCTGCAGACGTGTGGGCCAGAGTGCCAGGTGCCGATGCCGGCTGCAGCCGCTCACGCTCGCTAGCTGGTATGGGCGGGGGCAAGGAAAATCACAAGAGAACGTGGGAGCAGTAACAAGCGACTTAGCACGGCCAGTGCTGCAGTACATCAATAGCAAGAAACACACATGAGTGAGGTCAAGGTGCAAGCAGTGGTAGTTACACGGAGAAGAGCAACTCACCTCGTCACGACAGAGTATGCGCGCAGCTGCAGCGGTGCGGCGTCGGAAGCTGCTGGTGTGAGAAGGCCCCGCACCTGCCAAGAGCCAAGTGTCGCAGTGCAGATGCTGCCACACGAGCACAAGGTCGCCCGAAATGGCAAGGGGAGGGCGCGCACCAGCAGAAGCCGCCACATGTGAGGTAATGCAGCGGCGCGCATGCTGCTGCAGTCAGTCGCTGCTGCCGATCGCCACGGGCGCCATGAACAGCAGTCGCGCGCAAGGAGCTGCAGCGCGCAGATTGTCAAGCGAGGAGGTCACGGCAGCCGCGCGACCGAAGCAGCAGTCGCGGATCTGGCCGCAGCCTCAGAAAAACGCGCATCCGGCGCTGCAGGTCGTCACGTGCGCTGCTGTCACCAAGCACCAGCCATGACATGGCGAGCGCTAGTGAGACGCGCAGCTGAAGGACATCGCGCCATGGCGCAGCAAATCCGTGGCAACTAAAGCAGCAGTCGCGCGATAGCAAAGGAAATCGGGCATAGTCTCATCAGCAGCAGCAGCAGGAAACGATGAACAAGAAACTGAACGGGAGGAGGTGCTGAGAAACCCTGAGACAATCTGTCGAGAATGAGCCTGAATGACGAGTCTGGAAGACCCCTGCTGAGCGAGAACCGAGAGATTGCGGGGAGAATTGCGACCCAGGGCGTAGCACTGCTGGAATCACCTGAGAAGCGAGACGTGCGCCTACTCAGCCTGGATCGTGCAGCCGTCGCAAGTATGGTTCCCGCCGACACTTTCTCGACGGAACGTTCGAAACCCTAGCAGGGTGGATCAATCAACAGTCACTGCCGTGATCACCGCCACCACCGAAATCACCGCCGCAATCAACGCCGTTACCACAAATTCAATCGTCAATTCCAACGTATCCTCCATTCAGTCACGCCTCAGTAAAACCTACAGCAAGGGGGAGTGTTAAATATACAAACATAAGATGATACTAATGCTGTAAGGTTTTACTGTAGTGTTCCTTTATAAGACTCTCAGCCCTCCAATAATTGTACAATTATTGGAGGGTCAGAATTATTGGAGTCTAGAATTATTGGAGGGTAAGAATTATTGGCGGGTAGAATTATTGGTGTGGCGTTGTTGGTGTGGCGTTGTTGGTGTGGATAGAACCATCCTGAAGGGGTTAGCTGGTCAAGATAAATACCCTGCTCTGTCATTTCATAATCATCCTATTGTTCTGAATCATTTCAGTTGCAAGTTCCTCTTGCTACTTATTCTACAATCAAGCTTCCGCAACGCCGGCACTATGCCTTTCTAGCAGTTTGCACATGGCGACACCCCATTGCCTTATGCCAATCATGGGATAGGTAGCTGAACCTGATTTGCTTATGCCAATTATGCCCTGATGGTTTCAAAAATAAGTAGCTAGATCTGATTTGCTCATGACAACAATCTTGTATTTAATGCAAATATATGGTAGTTGAAACTTTCTTGTCCATGTGATTACACACTACCTTGCTCTGGGATTTGGCCACTTCCATGCTGTGCGTTGTCTGGTGTATTAGCGCTTCACCTGATCTGCCAGCGGTGCAACAACCCCTTACCATGATCAGGGGCGAGACAGTCAAGCTGATCTGTCTAAGAAGCAGCATACGGCACAGCAACATGTATGCTACCGTAAGAAGCTCTCAATCGAATTAGCAGCTCCCAGTGTTTGCATTGCAATGTGATACCGGTACCGCTGGTCCATAAACAAAACGCTCAGCAACATATACGGTATGCAATAAACTACACCCATCTTGTGTCCTACCACCCCCACGGAGTAGGCTACTACCATCTCAATGAGAGCACTTCTTCTCCTAACCCCTGCCCATGAGTTCAACGTTAAATCATGCTGTCCAGCCTTCTCCAATCCACCCCACTTTGCTCTCATTGAGAAGGAATAGCCTGCTCCTCCTCCCTCTCCAATCCACCATCCCGGGCCACCCATTACTAGTTGACAGCGCTGCAGGTGCGGCGAGTCTCCCCCTGCGTGCCAGTGAGCATGCCCGCTTCGCCCATGCGGATCATGGAGTGGCTGAACTGCCGGAAGAACGGCCCTCTGTTATGAAGCATACAGACCCACCCCACCAACCCGCTCCCAATCCCCCATCCCCCGCTACCATCCCGGGCCACCCATTACTAGTTGACAGCGCTGCAGGTGCGGCGAATCTCCCCCTGCGTGCCAGTGAGCACGCCCGCTTCGCCCATGCGGATCATGGAGTGGCTGAACTGGCGGAAGAACACCCTCCTGTCCGAAGCGTAACGGTTCACCAGCTGCCGAGTGCGCGAGTCGATCGCCAGCACCTGGTCACTCGACAGCAGCCCGAACTTCCGCTGAAGGTTCTGGAAGTACTGCAATGGGGAGAGATACAGGGAGAAAGGTGACTCTTGAGTCGACTCAAAAGTCGGGCTGATCGTGAGTGCCTGGTCGCTCGACAGCAGCCCGAATTTCCGCTGCAGGTTCTGGAAGTACTGCGGTGCGGACAGATACAGGGAGGAAGGAGCGAGGGAGGGGTAGGTGGAAGAGTGAATTGCGATTCTTCCGGGATTCACTGAAACTGTCAACTAAAGAAACGATGCATCTAGCCATGATATAAAAAAGCGTCACGGTGGTGCATTGGAATCAAAAGCTAGGGCACATTGGCGTGTCAGTGGCTGAAGACAAGGAAGAATGAGAGAAAGAAGAAAAGATACATCGCGGAAAAAAAAATTGGCCAGAAATGGGGGCCGAAGGTTTTTCGACGGGAAAGCTGCGGGGATGTACCACCTACCTGCGGTAAACCAACACTGTAAAAAGTGACGTATATGTCACTTCGCACAAGAAACGGAAATGTGACTTCGAAGTGACTGCAAAGCGCCAATATGGCATATCCACCTTGTGCGCCCGAAGCGCACAAGAGCCACGCCAACTGAATTTACAGATCTTCATTGGTGGAGGAGATGCTACAGTAACAGGCGGGAAAAATTCCGATGAATAGTGATTACGAAACCTGTGGGTTATGCCGAAATACTGGCGAGCAGAAACCACATGAAACAGACTTCGTGATTCTCGCGAAGTCGAAAATTGCTGCAAACCCATCCGCGTAGGGAAATAGAGTGAAAAGCTCGGGGAGCTCACGTGGTTGTCGAAATTAGAGCCGCTGGAGCTATCGAGGTCAACAAATATCTTCTCGTCGACATTGGGAGCTTTGCACTGGCCATTGAGGTAGTCCCGCAATTGTGGAGCCATGGACGTATCGCTGTTGGGCGTGATTCGGTGCGCGACGGAGCCGCAGCTCGCGTCGCCGATCGTGTGCGCGCCGGCGAGCGTGACGAGGTCGACGAGCGTGAGGTTCGCGACGGCGAAGTTTCGCAGGAGTTCGTTCACGTTCATCCGGTGGCCGGGCAAGGAACTCGACGCGAGAGACGCCAAGGAGGTGCGCGAATCGCGGCGGCCCAGGTCCACAGGCCAGAACGGACCGCCAGCCTGCCGGGGGACACAAGGCAACCACAGACGAGTTTGAGGCACCGCGAATCTACTTTTGAGGCCCCGCGAATTGCGGCGGCCAGGTCCGTAGGCCAGTACGGGCCACCAGACTGGCGCGCGACACCGAGGCAACCAGAGGCGAGCATGATGCAACGAGTAGAACGCGGCATGGGCGGCGGCGGGAAGGATATACGCGCAGAATAGATGCTGGAAGTGTGTTACGTTTTGCGGCAGCAATGCAGCGCATCTAACAGAAAATCGATGATCTCGAAGCCGTGGAGAGTCAGGGTAGGCGGCGCTTACCAGAACGACGCCGTCGCGCGAGGCGAGAGTGACGATATCGGCGCAGCTGACGACGCCGGGGCATTGCGCCTCGACGGTCTCTTTGATGCGATCTATGATGTCGAATCCGTGGAGCGTGAGATTGGGTGGCGCGTCTTTCTCCGCCTGGTTGTCCGCCGTCGAGTCGAGCAGCACAGACCCGTCGCAACCCTGCGACGCCGTTGCAACAAGGGATAACGAGAATGACGTCACAAGACAGTCGCCCAAGATTCTTGGCCCGTTGTGCGCTACGCGGCGTAGGCATGTTAATGACGAACTGAATCAGATCCATCCTAGAATCGTGCGAAACGTAAGCGCGTTACTGGGAGGAATGTAATCGACAAGGAGCTCATAGTGGTACCTGAACGAAGCAGTCGTGGAAGTGGAGGCGCAGAAGCGGCGCGGGGATGAGTCTGTTTTTCATAAATTCGTCGCGGACGATATCTCGCACAATCCCCTCGACGCCCGGGCACGAGTTCCTGTAATAGTCCCTCCTCAATAGACCACCTCTGCCTCCGCCTCCGCCTCCGCCTCGCGGTGGGCCACCTCCGCCTCCCCCTCCGCCTCGCGGTGGGCCGCCTCCGCCTCCCCCTCCGCCTCGCGGTGGGCCGCCTCCACCTCCGCCTCCCCCTCCACCTCCGCCTCGCGGTGGGCCGCCTCCACCTCCTCCACCTCCTCCTCCGGGTGGACCTTGCCTTCCACCTCCACCTCCGCCTCTACCTCCAGGGCGTTGTGCATGAGACGTAAGCCATGCGGCGTTGACGAGCACGAGCAGCAGGAGAAATGGCAATACACGAGCCATAACGGAAAACCTGATGTGAGGACCACGGATGTAAGTGAGAAGGAAGAGGCTTCGCTGGATGGATAACGAATGGCCCGAGGATGGGATGGGAAGCCCAGCTTTTATCCACACAAATAGCGGCGCGGGCACTTCCACAAACAGAACAGAACAGAGCAGAGGTTGAGCGGCTCGGATTCGTGCATGTTTTTTAGTACGGTATGCTACGGTGTGAGGGATTCCACACGTGCAAATGACGCTTCGTCCCTCGTGTGAAGGAATTCCTCCCCACGTACACATCCCGGCGGGATAAACAGAAGGGGTGGGTCAAACATTTTCGGTTCAACGCTTTTCTTCGGAAGGATTTCGTGAGAATTGTGTAGACTGTAGAGATTCGTGAAGTGTTACCTTTATCGCGAATATCAGGTTCGCATAGATTGTGTTCGTATTCGAGTGCGCTGTTCACGACCTTCGCAAGGCTCCCAATGCCAACTTTCCAGCAGATTCGTCAGGACGTTTCAGCAGAGGTGCCTCTTTAAAGTTGGGCCCAATCACACGGAAGGGATTTTATTAGAAACATCCCATTTGTCGTACAATAACAAGCTCATCTAATAAACCTCAATTGGAGGAGCAGCTCTGCACCAGTGCTGACGATTCAAGGGCAAATGCCCTTAATGCCCTGAACATTAAGGGTTGGGTTTGGCCCAGCTTCCGAGTTTTAAGGGCTGGCTTTGAGGGCAGCCCTTTGCCGCAAAGTGCTGGTTGTGGGCCTAACCCGGATTTCAAGTGCAGATCCCGCGGCTAGCCCTTATCGTCCCATACTAATACCTCCCTTCCTCCCATTCGCTCACTAGTCCCCCCACCTCCTCCCAGCCACTCCCCTACCTTTTCCCATCCCCCTCAAATCCATCGACATGTTTCATACCTCAGCCTATCGCTAGCTGGCTCTTAGTAGTTTGCCTAGGATACGGTATCCTTGGCTAAGTGCAAAAAAGTTGGTAGCCCTGATTTCAAGTGCCAGGTTTGCTCTCAGCCCGGAAGTTTCAGGGCAACTTTTGGGGCACCTCAGCCCCTCAAGTTCTGGCTCCAAACCAATCGACAGCCCTGCTCTGCACTGGGAAACCGGACCCTTGATAGGTTTCTCGACAGAATAAGGTTATATATTACACCTTGCTTCGTCAGCAACATCATATAAATCATACGAGATATGCTATCCCTAAGATTCGGCCTCTGGTCAGGCCAGTCAGGACCTAGAGTGAGTGCATCCCACTAGGGAGTCAACCTAGTCCTATCTGGATGAAGCCACGTTAGGATAGAACGTACCATGCTCTAAGCTACTGCCTCTCTATGAGTGCGTCATTTTGCCCCTCCATGCCCCTCCAATCCACCATCCTACCATGCTCTCATAGAGAGAGGACCCTACTCCTCCCTCATCCAAATCGACCATACCGCCATCCATCAGTTGACGCAGCTGCATTTGCGGCGGATCTCCCCCTCTTCGCCAGTGAGCACGTTATTTGCTCCCATGCGCAACATGGAGTAGCGAAACTCGCGAAAAAAGTCCTCCTGGTCCGCCGCAAAACGGTCCACGACGTTGCGAGTGCGCTCGTCGATCGCCAGTACCTGGTCGCTCGACAGCAGCCCGAACTTCTCCTGGAGGTTCTTGAAGTACTGCAGGGAGAACATAGGGAGGGGCGAGCGAGGGGCAAAGATGGTAGCGGATTGAAGAGGGTTTGGACATGCTAAATGCGTATTTCCGCATGGTCACTCGCAGTAGCAAGGTAGTTGACCTTCCTTAGGCATGGCCGCAAGAAGCCACGTTTTGGTCGAACGTGGTGCATTGGCTCACCATGCCAGCGCTAGTACGAAGGAACGAAAGGTTCTGCCGAATCGGTTCACCTGGTTGTCGAATCGGTTTTTGGTGCGGAAGTCGAGGTCCAGTTCTGTACTGGGTTCCTCGGTGGGAGCTCTGCACTTGTCGTTGAGCTTCTCACGCAGGGAGTTTGCCATCGTGGGGTCGTGGTTGGGCGCGATCCGGTGGGCGACACTGCCGCAGTGTGCGTCTCCGATCGTGTGCGCGCCGGAGAGCGTCACGAGGTCGAGGCGCGTAAGGTTCACGGCGGCGAAGTTTTTCACAAGCTCGTCCACATTCATACGGTGGCCGGGCAGAGCCGCCTCCACACGAGACGCCCTGGAGGAGCGTGAGTCGCGGCGACCGAGCTGCGTGTCGATGTACGGGCCGCCAGCCTGCCCGGCACGAGCCAACCAAGCGGAGATCATGAAAGGGGATTAATTCGATGTGTGAAACCGCATTGTGGATGGCGTGCCTGGGTGAAATAAGTACTGGGAAAACGCCGCGGGAGAAAACGCGGCAGAATCTTTGGAAATTGTCGTAACGGAAAGGCGGGAAGTCGGCGCGACGGCTGACGGTGACGCTTACCAGAACGACACCGTCGCGAGCGGCGAGAGCGAGGATGTCGGCGCAGCTGACGACGCCGGGGCACTCCGCCTCGACGGTCTCCTTGATTTTGTCGATGATGTCGAAGCCGTGGAGCGTCAGGCTGGGCAGCGCGTCTTTCTCCGCCTGATTCTCCGGCGTCGAGTTGATCAGAATAGAACCATCGCAACCCTGCGAAGCGTTAGCAGGATAATAGGCGATGAGAAAAATGATATTATGCTAAGATCCAGCGAGCGAAGTGGAAAAAAAGGAGCCGGGAAGATGTTCGTGGTACCTGAACGAAGCAGTCGTGGAAATGGAGGCGAAGAAGTGGCGCGGGGAGGGTTTCGTCTCTAATAAACTCGTCAAAGACGACATCTCGTACAATCGACGTGATGTATGGGCATGAGTCTCGGTAGAAGTCTCTGCTCAATCTGCTCGAGCCGTATTCATCGGCATGAGACGTACGCCATGCGGCGGTGACAAGGAGAAGCAGCAGGAGCGACAGCAATCCACGAGCCATGACTGCAGGGAAAGTTGAACAAAAGGGAAACGTCACGTATACGAAAACGAAGGGGTGGCTGGAGGTTGAAGAAATGTGGATTGAAGGTGGTGGTAAGTAAGCCCCGATTTTTTAGTACAGCATTGCGGCGCGGGCACTTCCACAGACAGGCCGCAGGACAAAGCACCGCCGGAGCGGCTCGGGCTGGTGTGCTTGTAGGGGCTTCGGCAACAAATGAAGCCACAATGTTGCGGCTCGGGATTATGTGTGCTCTTGACTGGGGAATTGCACACGTGCGTTTCCTGACTTGCACACCGCGCGACAGGATTGAGAAGTAATCACGGTCAAGATAAGCAAATACGTAGGACGTGTCATGGTTTGCCTCTGATCAGCTGTGATCTGGCCGGGTCTGATCGGTTCGGAGTCCCCTGATTACTGTGCTCGCGCCGCCCAATCAGAGAAGAAATTCCTCGAATATTCTATGAGGGTGCTTGGCAAGCGTGTCACCCTTTCCAAACACTTTTGCGCCCACTTTGGCGAGGGCGAAGTCCTCAGCCTGGCTTACCGAATTTAATGTTTCCATGTAACTTCGCGAAAAAAGATGCTCAGTAACGCTACTGAGGCTGGTTTAGAAAGTTCGTCAGGATGGTTTGTTTGAGCGAGAGCTTCACGACACTAAGCACAACACCATAACTTGTCGATAGCGTCGTTTAGTACCCCAAACCAATGCAATCAGCCGATCGTCGGTGATTGTGTGGGGTTGTGTTTGATTGGGCTTATGGCGGGTGATCGAGTTGGAGCAATCAACTGATCGCGATCAAGTGATTGCCCCCGATAGCCTGAAAACGCAACCCTAGCTTGCCGGAATTTATTGATCGACATTGATCGGGGAAATCAGAGACGAGCCGTAACACGTCCTTACAATTCCAAAGTTCAATATCGAATCGACGATCCCATATTTATCGTTTTCCCCGAATGTTGGGTCAGTTCGATCTGGAGCCTCCGATTGGCTGCGGAGCTGATTCGTGCAATGATCCGGTCAAGCAAGATTTCCCGCCAAAAAAAAGGACTAATAGGGGTCGGGCGAAACCAAGTCGATATCGGAAAACTCAAAAAGAGATCAGTTCTGAAATTGAAAAAGAGCTCAAAGGGGAAAAGGGACTCTTTTAGGGAAGGCCTCAAACCCGGAACATTTGAACAAGGCCACCACGATACACCCTATTTTTCAATATTTTCACCTTGCGTGACTTGTCTCATGAGATCTGGTGCCATTAAACGTCTGGGGGGAAAGCCGAACAACGTGACAAACTGGCTCAAAAACGCAAAATCTCCGTAATCAATAGACACCCTTTTAAACCAAACAAAAACGTTGACATTACTGTTTGTAAAGTGCAAAACCTTACCTAACCGCATTCTTCACATTGTGCTTGTACAGTAGGTGACAAGACCATTCTGAACGTGGTGACGTTCTACAACTCATGTACGTTATGCAACCAGGTGCTCTACTAGCGCAAAAAAAAGGGTAGTAGGTAGAGTTTTGGTTCTGCGCGCGAAGAACTTCCAGGAGTTCGTGGACAGATACAGCTGTCGTAAACATCAGCAATGCAGGTACACCCTGTTTCTCGACCCTCTCACCTTGCGCGATTCGTTGCTACAGTGCGGTCAGGTGCCATAAACCGTATGGCTGAAACCTGCGGGCAAAGCCGCACCAGCTGACGGAGTGGTCCTGGGGGCAAAATTTTCCTTTATCGCTGTATACCCTTTTCAACCGCTTTGAAACGCTTGATTAATAGTCTTTACCATGCAGCATCCTAGCTAAACGCTTTCTTGTGAATGTGCTTGTACCGTCGGTGATAAGACCATTTCAAACGTGGTGACGTTCTACAACCAGTGCATGTTCTGCAACCAGATGCTCTGCTAGCGCGAAACAGGGTGTACACAAACGAAAACGCGAATTCTCCTGGGTTCATTCGCGAGTTTTGCCCTAGAACTGAACTACAGTATCTGGAAGAACCAAGCCATAAGAGAATTTGGCGCAAGTCAAGATAAGCTATTAGCACAGGTTCAAAATAAAGAAGATAAAGACATAGCACATGGTCATGAATACATGTGCATAAAACTATTGTATTGGATGATTAGTGCACACAGAATCGAGAGACTTCGTAGGAATACTGGGCTATTGGAGGAAATTTAAGGTTTTCCACCACCACAAGAATTCTCCATCCTGTTGGAAACAATAAGTCTTAGTGCGCTTCTGTCGTGTCAAAACCCAAGACACTAGCGAAGCAGTCCGAATCGAAGCATCGATTCAAACCTCGGAGGTTAGGGTAACCGCCTGGAGGTTACGGGAAAGTCAAAGGTCAGCGACCTTTGACTCGACAATTACAGCGCGACAGTTAAGGACACACAACTGACTCGTTACAGAGCAGTTGCCCGAGTCGCACTGTATCGGATCGCAACAGCAAATAGAGTTATCTATCCATTCGTATTCCCTGTACTCTTATATAAAACCTTGTATTTGCTTGTTTAATTCAATCCACTTTGCTCTCACACGCTAGTGCAAGGTCGGTTCACAAACTTCATTAAACGCTTCCGCTATTACAAATATCCTACCCAGAATTATCCTCTGCAAAGATCCTTAAGGGCTTTCTCAGCCCAACATGGTATGAGAGCTGACAGGGGAAAACTCTAATTTTTTTATCATTACAAGACATGGCAACAAACAAGGAAAGGAGCTCCCCTAATGGCTCCTCGGGCACTACTCCTACTCCACCACCAGCCTCTGGCCTGCAGACAGAGGAAGGCACGGCAGCAAGACCAAGGGGAACATCAACCGAGACCCCCACGAACCATCCTTCTGACTTCGACCAGAACATGATGGAGAAATTTTTCTCCTTCATGTCCTTCCACGAGCAACACCAGCAGTCGGGACCTGCACAGACACACAATAGCAACAACGGAGGGACACCCATGAGCCTTGACGGATCGTCATATGCGCGAGGGAATCAACAGCAGCAACCCACCTTTGCCCCGTACGAGCGCGGGTCGATCAGCTTCCTGCCTCAACCTTCACCTGCGCAAGACAAATCAATGGACGCTTTACAAGTTCAGTCACAATTCGCGCATGTCCTGAAACTGCAAACATCAAGACCCTTCGACGGAAATGACTTCTTCACCTGGTCCTTTGAATTCGAGCTGATGATGGAGGGCGCGCAGATACTCGGCTTCTTCGACGGATCTCTGCAGTATCCAGCAAATGGCACACAGTATGAGAAGCAGCAGTATACGTATCAATCGATGATAGCGTATACTATTCTACTGAGAAACATCACACCAACTCAGCAGCAGAACATTCGCTCTTACTGGAACTTCGGCAACTCGGCGGAACTCGCGTATGTCAGAATGTTATTGTTCTCTAGCCTGCAGTGGGGTACTCTATAGCGAGTACAACCCCTTAGGGTTCCCTATATGTATCCTGCTGCTTTCTAGTGAACCCCCTCTTTTGCCTCAACTTTCTTGCCTAGCTAGGGTTCTCCTAGCTATGGCGCCCTAACCCTCGCCTCTATCTCAACATGCTATCAGAGCGGTTCCGCTCTTGGCCTGTGGGCCCCACTACTACTTCCGCTGCGCTACTGCTGTCACGTGCCCCTGGCGCGTGGCCCTTACTTCCTGCCGTGCGCCCCGGGCGCGCGGCGTTTTTCATCCCGCCGAGCGCTCGGGGCGTGTGGCCGTTTTCTGCCCGCCCCGAGGCGCGCGGCGGGTTCCTACCCCGTCGACGGTCGCGTCGCCCCCCGGGAGCCCGTCGCGCCGCCCTGGGGAGCCGCGCGCAACCCCCTGCAGCCCCGATTTCCCGTCGCGCCGCCCTGAAGAGCCGCGCGCGACCGCTGCCCCTTCTTCGCGGCGCCCTGGGGAGCACGCGCGGCCCCCGCCCTGCTCGTCGCGGCGCCCAGGGGTACCGCGCGCGCCTGTCGCCCGTCCGTCGTGGCGCCCCTGCGGCCCCACCCCCCCCTTTTTCCCGTCGCCCGCCGCGGCTCCCTCGGGGGCCGCGATCTGGGGGAGGGGGCGAGCGCCGCCCCTTCTGACGCCCCCCCCCCCCCCCCCCCCGTCACCTCCCTACCCGCCATCCCGCCATGCCCTGTTTTAGGGTTTGGGGGTGGCGAGTCGGGGGTGGCGGGTGTGTGGTCTCCCCTGCTCCTCCTCCTCCTATGTCTCCCACTGCTGCAGCTGCCGCTGAGGGGGGTGGGTGAGTGGGAGCCGACGGAGTCGTGCTAGGGGGTGAAGGGGGAGTGGAACTAGGGTGAAGCAGTGGGTCTGTGGGGGGTGTGTGGGACTGTTTGAGGGAGGTTGAGCGGAGGCTGCCGTCTTGTCGTCCGCAACACCTGTAGTCCGGGGCGCTGTCCCGGTAGCCCACTGAGCTCGTCGCTGCGCCAGTCGCCTGTGGGTCCGTCGCTCCTGCCGCTCGTCTTAGCCGCGGAGCCAGTTACTCCTGTAGTCCGGGGCGCTGTCCCGGTAGCCACTGTGCTCAACACTCCTGGTGCCCGTGTGTCTGCAGCTTCAGCCGCCGCCTCCTATCTCCTCTCCTCTCACTATCCCTCCTCCTCCTCACTTGCCCGCTGTGTTAGCCTCTAGCTTTGCTTATATTTCTGAACTACTTCTATGCTTGCTTGCTGTGCTGATTACACCCCACTTTGGCTAGGGGGGTGTGTCCGAATGTTATTGTTCTCTAGCATGCAGTGGGGTACTCTATAGCGAGTACATCCCCTTAGGGTTCCCTATATGTATCCTGCTGCTTTCTAGTGAACCCCCTCTTTTGCCTAAACTTTCTTGCCTAGCTAGGGTTCTCCTAGCTATGGCGCCCTAACCCTCGCCTTTATCTCAACAGCGTACGGCCATCTGAAGAACCTGTATCAGGCACAGACAGTGTAAGCCAGAGCATGTTAATGGCGCAATTGACAACAGTTGAAATGAAACCAGAAGAAAAGGGACTGGCGTATATCAGCCGATGTCGCGAATTGCGCGACAAGCTTCTTCGATGCGGAGGATCAATCTCTGAAGACGCCTTCGTGATAGTCATCATCGGTGGCCTCGGTCCTCAGTGGCGCGCCACCAAAGCAATTCTTCGAGCCCACGGAAGAATCTCTGAAGCAGCACTTTGCGCCAAAATCCACGCCGAGCAGCAGGACATGGACCTGCAATAAGAAAGGCACAAGAAAAAGGCATTAGCACCGGAGTTCGCTTTCCATACTCAGCGACGACACAACTACTACAACAACCGACAGCAGCAGCCGAAGCCAGTACCTCCGTTTTGTCACATCTGCAAAACATTAGGACATCCACGCACGCATTGCCCGTCCCGTCAAATAACACCACAGCGACAACTGCGGCCTTCAAGCTCCCAAGTTGCTTCGACACAAGCAAGTCCGACAACCACGATTCAATCTTCAATGACTTCAACTGGACAACCTGCACAAGGAGCAAGAAACATAGTCAACTGCATGGTCAAGATAAACGATTCTTGCATAACAGAGTCACCACCCCACTACTCACCAGAAGAGGAGCTCGACAACAGGACGCCCCGCCGCG